GGAGTATTGGTTTGGAAAAAGAAACTCTTCTTTTCATGAAAAACTAATTTCCAAATTAGAATAGTTCTGTTAAAAATATCACATAATCAATATGTGTTTACTTCTGTGAAGTTAATCCTGTAATTTGCCAAACCATCCGGGCCTCAGCTCTGTACAGGTAACAGAGTTAGTAGGTACTAGCAACATGAAGTTTTTTGGTATCCAGAGGAGGTTGCTCTCTGTTTTTCATATGCTTCTTGTTTCATATTTCATAAAATACAGTTCTGTATTTTAAGTGTACAGCAGTATTTCCTTAGCCTTAAGCCAGTTACATTTTTCTTAACCATCAGTGCAGACAGGTAGGTCAGTTTGCTGCTGCTGGGGACCAGATGGCTGGTGTGTTCTAATTTGCTTGCCAGATGACTTTGGAATTGTACCCTGCTATGGGTGGAATGCAGTGTGCAGGGCAGTCATGAGAAAAGCAGGATCAGGACACAGCTTCCATGCTGGCTGAAAGGACAGGGGATAGGTTCTGATTCACCAGTCTCTAGCACTGGGTCTGGCTTCAGGCCAGACTTGGGACTGCCTCACTGCTGGGGTATGTGCACTCTTTCATTTGGTGTAAACTAAAGGCAGGAGGAGAATTTAGCTGCACATTTCTTTGGACTGCTTTCCATCTCTAATTATATAGGCCTGTTCACCTACAGAGAAGTAGAAAACTCTAAAGCTTCTTAAAGCAGTGGTAAATTCACTGATTGCAATTGACATATCAATCCTATTTATAATTCAAAGCAAGATGAGTGGAATGATGAAGAGATGGGAAACTTGCTTTTTTAAAGGCTTCTGAGAGCCTTTGAAGGAAAAAAAAGTTTGTGTAAAAAAAATAGTTGTAGCGGAAGACTCACTTTTTCAGTTGTATTAAATGTGCTCAATTTTGAGATGGATTACGGATGTGGCTGTGCAATGTAGGGATTGCTGTCACTGTAGAATTAAAGTAAATACTTAATTTTATTTTTTCAGGATAGACATCTAAAGAAATTTGTGAAGAAGTTGCAGGGAACTTGATTGGACTGAACTGGTGAATAAAAAATTTTTGATTTGAGATTTAATGCTCCTGCTATTGTCACAGTCCATCCTGAAAGCAAGACATGGACTAATGCATAAACCAGGGAGTGGATTTTTATTGAGTTGTCCTCTGGTAAAGTTGCTTTTACAGCATACAGGCTTAGATCCCTTTGTGTGGCACTTGGGTTTGTCAAGCAGAACTCATACTGTGGCTGATTTCCTGGGGGAGCTATGGGGGTAACAGCCAGGGCTGTTCTGTGGTCACTGGGTGATGGTGAAGGAATATTTTAAGGCTCCTTTCTAAAATGACAGATGTTTTAAATCAAGCTTCTGGAACATTGCAAGAACTAATTCTTCTAAGGTCATCTTCCTTTTTAACAGAGGAAATCATATAAGCTGTGAGGAAAATGTCTCTTCCAGCATTTGGCAAATTGTCAAACTAGTATTGTCAACAGAGGCATTCAGAGGAATCTCTGTTTAAAAAATAAATAAAATGACCCTTAAACAATAAACTTTGGACTCCCATCTTAATTATTTTTGTGGTTTATTTGATGTGATATGTGCAGTTTTTACTTTCAAACTGTACAGGTGAAAAGGGCTGGATATTACTGGGTGCTTGTCTGTTTGAACAAACTCTCATAGAATTACAGAAGATGAAGTTATTTCTCCTTCTCACTGAGCAGCTGTTGTTTGTTTTATCTAAAAGGCTAAGAAGGTAGGCAAGGGAGCTTGTCTTACTTTTCCTGCAGCTGAAGCAAATATGACAAAAAACTGCAAAACTGCTTATAAGGAAGAAACTTGGCCAGAAAACCTTTTCTTTCTTTTCCATGAAGAAAATTCTCCACATGAGAAAGCCTAAAGCATGCTGGTTTTATACTAATCAGTGGCAAATAAGACTTGCAGGAGACTGATGAACAAGGTTAAAAGCAGGAACAGGAAATCTCAATCTCTTCCTCCTGCTTATAGCTACATTCCTAGACAGTTTTCTGTGGCCATATATATGCCCTCTGACTTCTGTGTGTCCCATTTCCTTTAAATTTCTTGACTTGTCTGCTTCTTATTCCCTGCTTTTTGAGTAGGGAGCAAGGGGGAAGGTAGCTCACTCTTTATTCATCTGATTTGTCTGTAATCTCCAAAGAGTTTGGAAATGCGGTAGAAGTTGTAACTAGGAAACTGTCTTGGTCAGCTTTGCTTGAGAGCTCCCCTTACTCTGTAATGTGCAGTGTTGAAATTGTTATTTTAGTGTGTTAGTCAGGGCAGTTTCTTTGGAACCATGAGTAAGTGCCACTCCAACACTGTGTAATAGCAGAAGCTTCTGTATCAGCCTGTCACTTCCCAGTAAGTTAGGATCATCTCAGGAGGTAAGAATATCCAAACCCCAAGCAAGCATCCTGTTTTTTCTACATGTGTACTGTTGGCTAGAAATAAAATCTTTTTCAGGTGATTGTTTTATAATAGCATGAAGCTGGACAAGCTATCTGTCTGAAATAAGCAATAGATACTACGTTTTCAAGGGAGAAAATAATCCTCATTTTCTTGGTATTGGACTGTGAAGAAGGTAGTTGTTAACCTTGTGTTACACTGTGATGTGTCCAAAACTTGCTTAGGCCATGTCAAGTTCAATCTGAAGAAACAGGATCTTGTGAAAACTAAGGAGGAAACAAAGCAACAAAAACCCCTAACCACAAAGCTAGAAGGGCAAACTCACTGAACTTTTTTGAGGATGTATATTTTCACTCATTAATATGTCTTTATGTTTTGAGACTCTTCCTGTGAAGTGTTATGTGGAGTACATTTGTTTTTTACGTGCCACTTCTATACCTTGGCAACGACTGCAAAGAGCAGTAAATGGAAAGGTTAAATAACAGCTATGCAAACAAGGTTTTCTATTTAAACAAGTTCAGGAGTACATTCTATGTTGGTGCTTAAAACAAGGTTGAAAGTCCTTTTTACTAGAAAGGTAGTGGATCTTTTTAATTGATGCAACTTTGAAGCTCCTTGAAATCTTGTGTGCCTTCTGTGGTATACAGAGCTGAGGATATGGATGGACTTGGAAGAGAAATGTCACTGGAGTTTAGGACAGTTTTTTTGAGGATAAAAATCTCCACAGAAAACCTCCAAACAACAGAAGAGGAGTTGACTCTTATCCTATATGTTACTTCTATTTGAAGATTAAAGATAGCTTAATAGCTACTTTGCTAGCTATAGTAAAAAAGTCCATACATATGCATCTGTAGACATATAAAGTGGATATTATCAGCTACTTATAGGCAGATGTATGCTGCTTTGAGTACTGAACCTAGATCTGTCCTTTTATGGAAGAGAGTTGTCCTTTCTAGAGTGAGTGATTAAATGTTTTTTGTATGGTCTAATATACCTGGCCAATATATAATAACAGTTGCTAAAATGACTGTCAACTTGAAGTGCCCCCCCCACTGTTTTATTTTTTGGCATTCTTTAAAGTTATACTTTTTCCAATATACTCAACTGTATGCAGGTTGGTACAGCTGCAGGAAAATAAATCTTGAAGGCATGGTTCTTGTAAGTACAGAATTGCTCTTCATTTTCACCTGGTGAGACTCTTTTGTCTAACAACGTGTAATCTGGAGTTACTGAAAATTACTCAATTTATTGTGTTATCATGATCATGCACTTATCCATGCAAGCTTGTGGGAAATATAAAGGATGTTTTTCCTGAATGCAGTGGAAATAATTAGAACAAAGCAGGCACACTCTCAGGTGGGCCATGAGATACATTTAGAATCGTGCTCCTGAGGCATTGCCATGAAGTTCAGTAGTCAAAGCAACACTGCAGTGCTGTGCACCAGGACAGTGCATGACTGTTTGTAAACCTGCTGTGAACATGAGACAGAAACCTACCATAAAGTTCAAGATCTTTAACTTTTTTTGTGCTTTCATTACTTTTAAATATCTGTGTGACTAATTGTGATTGTAGTACTAATAGATTAAAAAAAAAAAAAAAGAAAAAAAAAGAAGCAGGCTAGGCTCAGTAACTTTGAAGCAAATAAAATACTCAGGCCAATGGACTTCTGTGAAGTTCCTGTGAAAAGGAGCAGACCAGGGAGACAGTTTTTGGCAAGCAGCAAAAGTTTGCAAGGAAACAGTGGTTCTGGAAGGCTGTACAGCATTAGAATTGGCAAGTGCTGTGCATACTGACACACTGCATCTTCTGTCCAAAGCCAGTGAATCTTTAAGCACCAGCTGATCAGAGATTTTCAGGGCTATCTTGTCTAGCTTGAGCAGGTCTGGCAGCTCTTAACACAAAGTGGTGTCTGATTTAAAGACCTTCTGCTTTGTGATGCCTTTCTGAATAGCTTATTCAGCTGGAAAATACAGCGAACAAAGGAGCTGGAAATATTTTGTCAAGTTGGTGATCTCACAGTTCAGAGAGTCAGCTACCAATTATAAAGACTTCTATTGTGTAACACAAGAGCTAGTGTATAGAAAGCTCCAGATCTTACTCTCTTTCTTTATTGGCTTCTGCATAATTGTTTTTTGCCTAAAGGATGGTGTGGATGCGGGGTGCATTCTTAGTAATTAACTACAGTTTTTCTAATAGACTAAGTTGCTAGCAAAAGGGGGGTAAATTTTTTTATCTTTGAATTTGATTTCTAACTTGTGGAGATTAGGACAGAGGGAAACCTTCAGAGATTAAATTTTTACAACTAAGTGCAGGAAAAAACCAGTATTGTTTCTGTGGAGAGTAGGAAAGGGGAGAAGTGTCTTGGTGTGTCCTCGTCTAATTTAGGAGAGATGTTGATAGGAAGCAGCTTATGATTTCTGAAGCATTAAGTTAACCACAGTATATAGTGATCTCAAAAGTAAATACAGCAACAGGAACCTGGTGAAAGGAGCTGTCATTAGTACAAAGTGCTTTTTTTTGTTTATGTCACTATTTGCTTTTATCTGGCCTTGACATTGAAATTCTGATTTTTAAGTATGCCTGTTTTCTCCTGCAGGTTGGAAAAGAGACTGTGCAGACAACAGAAGACCAGATCTTGAAAAGGGATATGCCACCAGCATTTATCAAGTAAATTAATTTAAATTATTTTAAATCTTGTGTTGTGTGTACAGGAAACCTGTTCTAATGTCAGGAACAACCTCTTTGGCAGCAGGGATTTGTCTTGTTACATTCTATACATTACATATATAAGTCCATATATATGGTATTTCTTCCTTTAAAAATAGTTACAAAAATTAATCAGGGTAACAATGGCACTTAGCTGTGTGCTCCTGTAGGTTTGCCTAAAGTGTCAGAGACAATGTGGTGTCTCAATCTTTTTTTATTTATTTGGCTGATGGGAAAACGCGAATTTGTCAGTATAGGCAGCTGATAGTATAACTGCCTGGAGATCTAAGACGTTTGAAGAGCAGTGACTTACTGCAGGCATTCTTAATTGCATGTCTTGGTGAAAAGGACAACTGACTTTCTCCTTCTGTTGCCTTGAGCCTTAAAAATGATCCATCACACCTTGTTGTGGAGTTTCCAAGCTGCTTATTGCCAGACCTCTATTGAAGTAACTTTCTTCTACTACCTATAGGAACCTCTTTGTTAGCATTGTCCAGTGTATACAGAATTTCTGAGTATTTTACTGTTATTTCCAAACACCAAGCAGGCAGATAGTGAAAACAAGAAAGCATTGAGACAACTGGGAAAATAATAAAAGGGAGAAGGGAGGTGATGTCTAAGGAGAAAACTTATGATAGGCCGTAAATAAGGATTTAGTTTATTGCACGGTAGGGTGACAAAACGAATTATTAGAATAATGCTGCAGATGGTATTAGCATATGAGTTCAAGAAGGAAATGGCTGAATTATTGGTAAAGTAATCTGTCACTTGAGACCACCAGTATATCTATCAAAGTGATGCTACAGCCTGAGAAACTTTCTAGGGAAATCTGGGGAACAGGAGATGTACAGGTCTGGTGTACCTTTGGAATAAATGACCAGAAATTCTGTATTAGAGAACAGAGAGAGCTCACCTATATATAGTGTGCTTTGGGTGAATTGACAGTGTTTCTGTGGAGGGAAATTCTGCCTTATAAATCTATTGGTATTCTTAGAAATATTGCCAACAGGGGAAAGGGTAGTCCAGGTAATACAGTATACACTGATTTCCAAACTTGGCAGGTGAAGGCTTTTAAGAAGGTGAAGTGGCTGCAGGGTAGTTAGAAAAATTTTTGTATGAGAAAGGAAATTGAAAGTGGAAGAAAAGATGATATGGTTAACCCTGACAATGGCAGGAGAAAATCAGTAAGACTGTGGAGCTCTTGGTTGGGATTGTGCTTTTCACCATGTTAATAAATGTTTTGGAGACCAGGCTGACTTGGGAGGCAAAAGTACTTAGTGAAAAGTGCAAGTCTTATGCAGGGCAGAGAGGTTAATGGATGACTCTGGGAAATTACAGTACCTTATTAATTGAAGTGACTTGATGTTAAGTGTGGATTAAATTACTTCTAAATATCTGAAATTATGCATGCTTGGGAGAGCAACAGGCATGATGGCAGATAGGATGATTGAACTGACCATTACCAATAGTGAGTAAAGATTGGTGAGAGCATCCTTACCTGTTCATGATGTCAAAGTAAATAAAACATTAGGTTTATCATCAAAGAATGAGAGATAAAAATGTCACAATATCATTTTGTTCTGCAGCTTGAATACTGCATGTCCTGGTAGTCACACAAGTTTCAAAAAGTTGTAGGACTGGAAAAGCTCATAGAAGGGCTTGGAGAACAAAGGCATAGAATGAATTCTGTATAATGCAAAGCTGAGTAGACTGAAACTGGGAAAGTGACAGAGGGGATTGAGGCCCTGACAACGTCTAAGGAAGGATGAGTTGCATGGAGAAGGTGAAAACTTGTGTTTTTCCTGTCCAGAACTTGATGGGGGAATTGCTTTAAGCTAGCAGTTTGTAAGCCAACAGTAGGGGGAGATTCTTTGTACAGCTAGTTGTGTACTCTTAAAACTCTTTATGTGGGTTTGGAGGTTAATAGCTAAGGACTTAGAGGGATCCATTGTGGGTCAAATATACAAACTGCAGGAAGTCCCAAGAACTGAAAATAGTTGAAGGATGGGAGAGTGCCTAGAGGAAGCATGATAAATGCTTATCCTGCTTTTAACCTTCCTTAGGCTTTTACTTGCAGCTACTATTGGAGACAGGATGCTGAGCTAAATGGGCCTTTGATACAATCCACTGCAGTATTTATCATGCTGTGTGCCTGGTGTGTGATCTTCTCTGGCTGTCAGGGGTTTGAGTTTTTGAGGGGACTGTTTATTTCATGAAATGAGATCAAAGGTTTTTCCTTGCTTCTTGATGCAAATGTGTAATTTTTATTGTGCTCATTTTCTAGGATGTGTGTAATTTTTACTTAATTTCCGGCTTCTTCACCTAGACAAGTAAATGACTAAGGAAAAGAGATTTTTTAAATTGCTATACTGTATTAAGCCTTTGATCAAAATGTAGCAAATTGTGCAAGACTTGAATAATTAAATTACTGTAGAAATGTGACACAAGTACTGCTGAATAGTGCCACTTTGTGCTGGGTGCAGGAACTTTGTCTGCAGCAATTCATGACTGCATGAGCTGTGATACAATGTAAAACGGGAACCAAAGGTATCTGTCAGAGTAATGACCCACTCCACAGAGTACTTACTGTCCTAGATGCAGTAACATGAGTTAGAAATGCTCAATGGTTTTTATCAATGATAACATGTTCCACTTGTGGGTTTTTGTTAATCTGGAGTTTATATCAAAATGAATTGGTACAAATGAACAGTTTGTTGTTAACATGGGGAGTGTATTGTCCTGGGTATCTTGGTTATGGGGACAGATGGTAGTCACAGATGAGGTACAAAGGGAGCCTTATTTTTTACTGCTGTAAAGGACAGAATTTAGATGCAAGAATTGAAACAGATGAGTCTTTTTTGTTTTCCTGACAGGGAGTTTTTGTTTCTAAAGTATTAGTTGAGGAAGTGGCATTCCTTTTTAAGGGAGTGCTCTGGCAGAGTTTGTTCTGGTGCATGGATGATGGGTGAGAAGCAGTACACATGTGCTAGCACTGCATTCCCTGTCTGTATTTCCTCTATTCAAAAGGATTACCAGTCCTGGATGATAGAGAGGTGTGTTTATTATTTTGAAAGACTTGATACAGGCATCGAGGGTTCATGATAAAAATATGTTATGGTAATCTGTAAAGCTTTTCAGTAGGAGTGTGATTGAGCAGCAAAATAACTTGCTGGCTGCTGAAAAGCTATCATGCATCCCTTCACTTGCTACTGACATAAACCACATTGGAACTGTTCACTTAGAGCTAAAAAATGCTGAGTTCTTTATCTTAATTGTCTTAATCACCAGGGAGTATAAGTAATGCATATAATTTACATCAGATGTTTTGCAATGTGTTCCTATTACTTGTTAAGCTTCTCTTGTAAAGAAGTGAAGAACTGCAGTCTCTAGGCAAAGAATAGGGTTACACTATTGGTTTACACTGAGAATAAAAATTTGTTTAACTTTGATGCCCATTTAACAAATCAAGCAATAATGCTATTCTATGTTAATGTTATTTTGGTAGTTGAGCTGCAGCTGCACTGCTGGTATCTGTATTAACAAATTATATATAAAAGATTTGCTTTTTACTTTATATTTCTAGAACTGCAAGCAATCTAAACTGTAGTGGTTAAACTGGAAAACAAACTCAGGGAAAAGCAGAGGTCAATCCTGAAACCTAAAAACTAGAATAATAGTTTAGCATAAGCTACTTTTCCCCCCTCATGTTCTGTAAGGAATGCATTACTGTGATGAGGTGGATTGGCTACCCAAAGTAGTATGGCTACAAATATTGTGACCAGTGTCTTCCCCACAAAGAATTTGGCTGGTGTTAAGATAGCTTTATTGTAATCACACCTCAAAAACAAACACTTTTTTATTAAGATATGTTGTTGGGTTTTTTAAGTTGCATTATAATACAGAGATTAGAAATTTCACCATAGTAATAAATTTCTATTTGAAACTTCTGAACATGGTTGATTGTTGTGATAGAACAAGTGGTTCATTGCATTTTTAGGGGCTGTGGTCATTTGTGTTGTTTTGGTTGGTTGGGTTTTTTTCATGGAAGTAAACAAATCCTAATCTTTTGCTCCCTAGCATGTGTACTTTGCAGGGGATGAAGTGTCTGATTTTCAAGCACCACTATGATTTTCTTGTACACAGCTTACACTCCTGAAGCATTTTAAGTGCATTGGGAAATTCATACAAAATAGGCATCATACTATTGAAATTCACATTTACCTTTAAGAGGTTCAACCCTAAAAACTGTGAAAGAAAACTTTAAATCTTTAGAAACACTATTTTCATTAATTATGGTGGCTTCTAGCGTAGTATGCATTTATGTTAATTCTTCTCTTAACAAATGAGAAAGGCAGCCTTGAGATAATTATCAGTATTAAACAGACAACCATGAAATTAAACTGTGGGAAATTAAGTATTTCTGAGCCTATAGCTCTGAGCTGCTGAATAGGTGATTTGTTTAATCCCTTTCTTGGCAGAGTTGAAAAGAATAAATGTGAGAAGCAGGCACGGAAATGTAATTTAGTGAAGTCAGTTGACTTTGATAACACAACTAAGTGCATTGCATAGTGATGAGCAGACCATTTCCACTTTCTGCCTTGAAATCCTTTGGCATTTTCTTGCTCAGTTAGGAGCCTCTGCCATGTGATACACTGAGCAGATGCCTCCCAAGAGGAGCTAGTTATGATAATATAGCTGGTCCAATGTGATCTATTCTAGGGAGCTATAAGCTGAAAACTTGACTTTCAGGACAAAAGTGAGTTCCCCTGTAATGGGTGTCGTCTTTTGTCCATGTGGTCAGTAGAAAATGGGCTGTGTGACAAGCATGCAGAAGTGGTCACAAGAGGTAGCATTGCTGTAGTAAAAGTGCTTTATGTTTGTTGGAACCTCCTGTTATTGAATGAGCACATGGCATTCACATGCACAGAGCCTTATGTATTACACTACACTTAAATGAAGTGGGAGACAGTGGAGGAAAGTGCAGTCATAAGTAGCGTAGCTAACGTGACAGGGAAGTCTGATTTTTTTATTCTCCAAAGGCATCACAAAGTAATTCAAGAGAACCAAATCAAAACATTTTCAGTCTTCCAATTTTTGATATTTTAAAACTGTTACATTAAATTATTTGATGGAACCTAATTTCAGAGCTTATCTTCTTATTCTAAGTACCTTTTGTGTTACTGTAGTTACATACTGTAATATCTTGCAAAATCTTCTTTCTGCTTTTATGTCTGGAATTGCAAGCTGCATTTGAACATTGTACCTTACCACTGCATTTTGTGCTTATTTAAATTGCTCTTTCTATGAGTGTTAACATTCTGAAGACCTCGACTACAGCTTCAATGACCAGAGCACAGTGTCTTTCATGTTATTTTGTCCTCATGTGTAGCTGTCATTTAATATTTATTGATAGCAATTGCTACTTGAATAACAATGCCTATACAAGGCTGATAAAAGTTAACAGTTACTTTGATTGTGAAGTCCTGAAAGAATGGGTGTTTTGTTCCCTGCCCTTGTCATGAAGAATGTAAGGTATTTTGCTGCGCTGGGAGCTCTCCTTAATGACACTGCGCTATGTGCTCTGTAAGAGGTACTTCAAACCTTCCCTATGTGGGAAGGTTGTGTGACTTCTGAAAAACTGGATTGTGTGGTTGCTGGTGACTTTTTGTTAGAAAAAATACAATAAATACTCTTGCCTTTTAAACTATAAAGGTGTAGAATGATGAGTTTGTTTGTGGTGCTTCAGATGGTCAAGTTAAAAATAAATCCAGCATTTTCTCAAGCCTGTGGTCACACAGACAGGAGCTAACCAGCAATTGTTGTGTGCTGGCTTCCCGCAGAGTGGAGAACGCCTGCACCAAGCTGGTGCGGGCAGCCCAGATGCTGCAGGCAGACCCCTACTCAGTCCCAGCTCGTGATTATCTCATCGATGGCTCCAGAGGAATCCTTTCTGGAACATCAGACCTGCTCCTGACATTCGATGAAGCAGAGGTAGGATCCCAGCCCGACTGACAGAAGTGGCTGCACAACAGGGTTATTAATTAAAATGTCCCCCTCACTAAAGTAGCTAAACCAAGCTATTAAATAGATTAATGAGGTTTTGACCATTTCAGCTTGATTGGAAACATATTTTGCATTCCTTTCTGTCAGAAGGAGCTTAAGACTTGTTGCTCTGTTTTGTGAGGAGCATTTTTGCATGGCGTAATGCTTAGGTGCTGCCTGTGATTATTGCTCAAGAAGGCCAGATCTCTTCAATTGTCTGATACCTTCCTGATGCTTTTCTGTATTCCCTTCCCTTTACCCATTATTGATCCTTATATTTTCTGTGTCCCTTCATTGAAAAGCCCTAGGCCACTTGCTAACATGTTTGTCTGGCTCAATTGCTCTGGCAATTTAATTGGCCTTGGGCATGGGTGGTAATACAAATTTGGACTGTCTGGCTAGTCAGGCAGAAGATGTATTCTGATAAATCTAACAGTTGCTACATTTTGGCTATTGCACTAGCCAGAAACTGACTCAGAAGTGCTGTTTCTCCATCCTCATATGTAAAAAAAAAAAAAAAAAAAAAAAAAAAAAAAAAAAAAAAAAAAGTTGCAAGGAAATGTAAATGTCTCATTTGAAATTTTTTTTTGTTACAAATCATAGTTTTGGTGCTCTTTCTGGGGATGTAGAGTCTTGCTTATTTCTGAATAAGAAAGATCATGCTGTTAAAAATACTGATGTCCATTCTCATTCTGCTACAATTTGTTAACCTATGGAATTGTGTTGCTCTTCTTGCTGTTCTGAGTAATCTAACATGGTATCCTTGTCTCATTTAACCATCTCATGGCAATGTTAGCAGGTTCCTCTGAAATGGTGTTCAATAGAAGTGTTATGGGGCTTTCAAGGAAGTTTATAGCTTTTAATCTCTTTTTCTAGTATTTAGGAAATGAATTGACTTTTGTGAAGTTAATGCTGTGTGCAACTCACCTGACAACTCCTTGTTAATGAGAAGAATGCCATTAGTCAGGAATGATGGATTTTTTACAAGTACTTAAGTTGACCAGTGTCTGTGCTCAGTTTCAATATAAAGTAGCATTGGGACAAACTGAAATGAGTTTCAGAGGAAGCTTTGGTCTTTTCTAGGTGCTAAACACTGCATGTGGTTAATACAAATTAAATGTCAATTAACTCGTTCTTCCATAATAATTGTATGTAGTGATGTCAGAAGTAATGTGGTTCAGAGGTTAGAATATTTACTGACAGAACTGTTTGGGAATCAAATGTAGACTGAAAAAAGTTAAGCTAAGGCAGAGGTCCAGAGGTAAATGAAATACAGCTTTCACAGATTTTTCTGGAAAGTTTAAGATGCTGGATCTATCTTCCCTGCTGGAATGCTGGGTAATGCTTTATCCATATGTAAAGCTGTATGGTAAATGATACTTCCTCTGAAAGCCTGAAGTCTGCTTTCTATGTAGCTTTGCTTTGTGATTTAAGTTAAATATTTTATTGATGAAATTGCAATGAAAAACTTCAAGCATGACAGCATGCATAGATGAGGCTCTTTCTAACCCAATTTCTCAATGCTATCTTACATATATCATACAAAGTGAAAACATTGGAAGTAGGATTTTGCATTTCTGAGTAGTGGAAAGCTGATTAAATATTGGCTTGCTACTACAGCAATTGACTAATGGAATTTGGGTAACTTATTCACGATCTCAGACCTTTATAATTGCCCATTTGTCCTATTAGCAAATGCTATAACTAAACTGTTCGAATAACAGATTTGCATTTCTAATGCAAGTGTAACTTAGCGTTAGCTAAGAAATAATGTTGATGTTTCTCTCTTAGGTCCGTAAAATCATCCGTGTCTGCAAAGGAATATTGGAGTATTTGACTGTGGCAGAAGTGGTAGAGACAATGGAGGATCTGGTGACTTACACGAAGAATTTAGGGCCAGGTTTGATTTGCTTCAGTCTTTCATAAATATATTAATTATAGTCTTTTCTATTACTTTGTTCTCCCACCAGCATTTCCCTCACCCAAGTTTTGAACACTGGGACAATGGTAAAGCAGTTGCTTTGGAAGTTTATGTTGGGAAGAATGACTCATTCTGTTTCACAGTCTCTTTTAATAATGCAGAAGATGTTGGTAAATGAGATTTGCACATGAATGATATGTACTTTACTTTTCCTGTACTGTGAAGGAAGTAAGCATGCGTTAGTAAGGATAAAAAAAAAATTGAAAAAACTCTGTAAGTAAGCACTCACAGATATAAAATCCATTAAGCTGATAAAATGTCTGCACTGGCTGAGATACTTAGGCCCAGAAGGAATTTCTTGGAATAATATATGCTACATGTCATATGTTACCATCTTAATGAGGCTGCAGAAATAGCTGTCTGGAAGTATGATACAAAAGCCCAGCTGTTATGGAAATTCTGTTTGCTCTTTGGTGCTCCTTCTCTACTTGTTACTTCACTGTGTTAACTCACACTTGGAGTGGTGGAAGTGATGGGTAAGTGAGGAGCTGCTGTCTCTATCTCTCCATTGCTCTAGAGGAAAGCTACCATTAATCTATGTCATCTGCTGGTTCAAATGCTTTAGCTTCAGCATGAAGTCGCTAAAGTATTTAACAAATGCATTCTGTAAAATGGAGATGTGGTGGTGGTAGTGTAGGAAGATGTCGGAATTAAAATTCCACTGAACTAAAGAATGCTTATATAAAACCAAAAGGAATCTAGTTAGTGCTTTATATTTATAAATACTTGTATAATGTGGCTAGGTGATGAAAAAAATGACTAAGAGATGTCATGGCACAGGGCATGTTTGTAGATGATCCTGTTTTTATTTAACACGTGTATACTTGACCTTGTTTCTAGATGTGGAAAAACTTTGAAGTTCCATATGGAGGTATAGTGTTCTCTAAACTTTTATTTCCCATCAGAAATTACTTTCAATTAAATAGTTTTTGCCATGTTTTGAAGAGGAAATGATAAAACAAAAGGGCAATCTTCTCTTTCCCTGAAACTTTTTCTTCAACTTGGTATATACACATTTAGTTTCTCTGTGGTTATTGTTTTACTTATCTTTAAAATGGAAGTTTTCCCTAAATTCAGTTCGCTCTGTTTGGCTCAGTTGCAAGTATTTGGCTTTTTTCACTGAACCTCACATACATAATTTGCTGTTACATATGTATGCCAGAGGTCTTGGGTAAGTGTCTTAGTTTCTTACAGTGAGGTATAGGCTTGTCATCTTAATTGCAAATAATCTTCTCTAAACTCGTGGTATTGTGAATAAATAGTGAGCCTTGTGCTTCTGGAGTGCTGTAGAAGCTCTGTCTTTGTCTGAGCTGGCTGCTGCTCAACATCTGCAGCCCATGCCCACAAAATGTAAAGCCCAGAGTCCTTGTAGTTAAATTAATGGGCATTTGAACTGAACCATCCATGTGAGTACTGAATAAATAACAGGAGTATCAGCAGGTACACTTAAAGTCAAGGAAGTGCTTATAGGGTTTATGCTGGAACTAGAGAGGGGAACATGATTACCTACTAAGGCTTTTGTCATGTAAAAGGAAATGTGGTTCTGCACTGCTTGCCTGTCTGTGCTCTCAGTGTGAGGATCCTGCTACTTTCAGTGATGTCATGAAACAGTATTAAGATGCTAACCAGCAGAAAGGTAATTTGGCCAAAGAATATACAGCTTCCTTCCAGTTTTATACCCTGGAGGAGAAAGAGTAGGAGCACAACAGAACCAATTTAAATAATCTTAAGTTTTTGTGAAGCTGTGTCTGAAGTTTCCACATGCACTGTGTGATAAACCTCACAAGTCTTAGCTATTGCTCTAGAATAAATGGAATTCTTTACAGGCTTCTAGGGTACTGAAGTATTTCTAGCAAATATGAAGTGTAAATAAATAAGTTTTTGACCTCTGGTAGAACCTCCAAGCAAGCAAACAAAATCCGGACATTTCCTTTTTCTGTCCTTCACTCAAATCTTAACAGAAAAGATGACACCCTCCTCCTGCCCTTTTAATCAGCTTCCAGTGTTCATTAAGTGACTTCATGTCCTAAACCTGTAATTTCAAGTATTTTCCTATTTTATTGATAGGATTTTAAGTCAAGAATTTTGAGTAGTCTTTCTGTTTTGGCAGAAAGTGCTAGTTTTTGAATAGTGACTTCTCTGAAGTATCTGGAATGTGTTTAAAGTAACAGCTGCTAATATAAAAGTTTTCAACTTCAATATAGTTTTCATCAATCATTATGCCTTATTCTTGTTTTGAAATCTCAAGTGTTTTAATGTTGAATTACTTCAATCTTTAGGAATGACAAAGATGGCCAAAATGATTGACGAGCGACAACAGGAATTAACTCATCAGGAACATCGGGTTATGCTGGTAAACTCCATGAATACAGTCAAGGAGCTATTGCCAGTACTTATTTCAGGTATTTTTTCTTTGTTCTTCAATACCATTCTGAATCATTGTTTTGAACTGGAGTTCCCATGTTTTATGTTAATTAAAAATAGTCTTGACATCTGTAATCAATTGCAAGTAACTGTGCTTCTTGTGTTAAAACTACAATCTCTTTGAGATAAAATGATCCAAGCAAAAGGAAATGTTCCATATAAATACAGTAGAAGGCCAACTTGACCTCTGATTGGTCTTGCATATACCTTTTTCTAATCTCTGCTATTTTCACAGCTATGAAGATTTTTGTAACCACAAAAAATTCTAAAAGCCAGGGAATAGAAGAGGCCTTGAAAAACCGCAATTTCACAGTAGAGAAAATGAGTGCTGAGATAAACGAAATAATTCGTGTATTGCAACTCACTTCCTGGGATGAAGATGCCTGGGCAAGCAAGGTATTTTCATATCAACATTTGTATGTAGAAGTCTAGTTTTTATCTACTGTGTTTTACCCTTTTAAACTTGTGCTTCTGAGACCACTGAAATATGAAATATTGAGCTTTCTCTCAATAAGCAAAGTTAAACTAGTGGGGTATTTGAAGGTAATTCAATGGTTTACTGTAACTCAGTGGTGTAACAGAAGACAGATTTATTCATGCTTTAGTTTCAGCATCATTAGTGAGTCCTGGAATATGGTATATTCCACTCAGAGAAGGATATTTTCCCTATCTATAACTACCCTACATAATAATTTTTGATGTAAGAAAGTTTGGTGTAAAAGTTACTGTTCATTCAGCTGGTCTCATAAGTGAGATTGAGATTTCCCTTCTAGATCCTGCCAGAAAAGATGGGCTGCTGTTGTATTCCTTGTGCAAAAGGCTTGGAACTGAGAAATTTTAGTCAATTTTGGGGAATTCCTCCTTGAACATTTGCCTTGTTTCTCCCTGCCCCATATTTATTCTGGACATGAGAGTAAATTTCAGGGTTTTGTCTTATCTCAAAGGAATCTGTTAGATTGAAGAGGCTTTCTGGCTAAGTTTGATGCCTGGGAAAGTGGCTTAGGGACAGGATTGGTTCTTACACCTCAGTGTTGAGCTGTGTGAGTGACTGCAACCACTTAACCTGGAGCTAATTGCTGCTCTGAAATGATGCTGAAGTGTCTAGAAGACTGTAAAGCAGGTCTGACAGACAGAACCATAAGTGTTCTGGGCTTACAAATAAATGCAGCTGCATAACTGAAATTCCTGCCAAGTTATTTTTGAGTACTTGGAGGTAAATTGCTGAGGATATTTTTTTAATGGTTAATAATATGAGCAACAAATAAGCATAAATGTCATGGAAAACTTACTGAGACCTGAAGCCAGACTAGTTACTAAACAAAGTCTAGCAGGAAATCTAACATTGATGTAACCAAGATGTAAAATCACTTTGGCCTATGGTTTTTGGCACTTGACCCTCAGTTTGCCTCTTGATTTATTTTGTCACTATCACTTCCTTATTATGACTACTGTATGCATCTCTGTTTTTGTTGTCCTGTTTCTTACCCTTTCCTCACCTTTAGAAGGTAAGCTTTCTTCCACACCCTCCACCTCTCCCTTGCACTAAACCCAAAAAAAGCATGTCTGTGGGATTTTGTGCTGTGTGCAGACTGTGTGCTGTGCAACTTCTCTGACTGCCAGCTGTGGCACTGGCATTTATACTTAGGGATATACACACAGGTTAAAGAGATCATAATAGCTCTGTCTGGCTGTGTGTAGCATTGGCTGTCACTGAGAATGGTAATTGCAAGCTGATCTGCATCAAGACTCTTTCTGAATCTGATTAGAATTAGGGCAAGATTTTACAGCACATTCTTTCTGAATGCTTTTATGTTAGTTTATGAGTCTCTGTAGTGACAAATAAAGGGTCCAGTCATGCAGGAACCAGCTTTCTGCATGGCCAGAAAGCTTTATTAAGTCAGGAATTTTGTCTATTCCATAGTGTTTTACCCATAGCCTTCCTTCATTTCAGATGGTTCATGTTCTTTAGGTCAAGGCTTAAAACTGCAGTCTTGCATGGACACTTTTTCAATTCAATTTTATTTTTGGATTTAAGATTTCCTGTATTTTATGAAATATGAATACTGTTTTATTTTAGACAACAAATGTGGACATTTTTGTGGTGAAGAAAAATGTCTATTGCAATGAGTTGGCAATTTAGGCTTAGGAAACTCTTATTCATACTGCTGGTGAGGCAGATTAATAAAGGACTTAATTAAGAAAACAGTTGGTATATTAGCAGTATTTCCTAATGGAAACTATTGGTCATTATGCTTAATGCATTAATATGTTGTGTGGATTAGTATAATCAAAGTATCATTCTGTTCTGAACTGAGAATTTTTAAATTGTATTTTGGTTTTGAATGAAGATATCCTGATAATTTGGAGCTGTAACACTGGGCATTAAACAGTGATGACAAAGCATTTGAATTGAAAAATGCAGTGGGATGAGGAAGCAGAAACTAGTTTGCTAATAGCCACCTATCACAGACATGATGCTGTATTTGCACACATATGTAACAATTGCCTAACAATTGTTATTTTGCTAGGAGGAAGATGGAGCTGTTTAGTTGTAGTTGAGGTCACTGTTGCATGCATTTTGTGCCTGGTGGTGAAAGAAAATATTTTCCCCATGCTTTTAGGGAATAAAGTAAGGTGTTTGGGGATGCCCAGCCTTGAATTTTTATGTGTGTAGTACATGCTATTGCTGATGTTGGACTTTGTTTATTATTCTATCTTGAGTTATTTATACCCTGAGTTATCACAATCTATCTAGAGACAGTGGAGAATGAACAACGTGTGGAGCCAAAGCTGTGGGTTTTGTAGGGGTTGTAGCCGTAGGTAAACTATTTTGTTGGTCTTTCTGGACTCTGCACATTACTATTACTGGCTTGCAATAATCTCTGTTTACACTGGATTTTAAAAATAGTATGGTGCTTTAGAACTGAAATACTATTCTTGGACAAAATCCTGGGGAAAAGACTTGTATCTATTTTTTTCATTCATAGCTTTGAACTTTTTTCCTTGAAGTTTTTGTTTTTCAGAGGAATTTAATTTTCTCTTGCATATTGTTAGTGTTTATTTTGAAATGAATTTCCAGTAATACTCAATTCAAGCATCTTTCATTTCCATGGAATTGGAGGGAGTTAACAGTTGTGAGAAGCTGAGAGATATCTAAGGGCTTGCAGGATTGAACCCTGAATGGTGACTAAGCTATCTATCTTGCCAGAACACTGGCTTTGCCTATTTCCTCCAGCATTGCCTTCTTTGGTCATGAAATGCAGATATCCTTAGACTAGACCACTTTATTGAGTCAGAGGTTGTGTTTTACATCCAGCAAGGAATTGTGTAGGATTTATTTTGCTCTTTTGCATAGCAGAGCCAATACTACCTGCTCCCTGAATGAGCTCAAAATTCTTGGTAGTGGCAGAAATGATGCACAGAAGTGTCTTCAATAATATTTGCTTTAGGAATTGGTTTGGAACAAATCCAGATTGCTCTTTTCCCTTCAGACAGTGTTGCCCTAGTTGTTTAATTTGAGTAACTGAAATAGTTTATCTCTTCTGAAAATGCAATAGTGCTGATTTTGTTAATAAACTTCCTTTTGGTAACAGGGGAACTGTTGGCAGGGAGAGGAGGGAAAGAATCAGTTTTTGCTGATAAAACTATAATTTTTTTTGCAAAAGAGCAGTGGGATTAACAAAAAATTCATGCTTGCAAACGATATTCCATTGGCAAATCCCAAAGAGTTACATTTGAAACATATTTAGCTGTTTAGGGGAGGAATAAAATATTTAAACAGCTATGGAAGTTGAGACTATCAAGACACTTTCAAGCAGTGAGACCTTGAGTAAGTTGCTGTGTTTTTTTAGATGGAGTGTTTCTGCTTTTGTCTTCCTCCTTTCTTAATAGCTTGAATTGGTTGGTGAGTCCAGACCTTTCAGTATGGCTGTGCCTTTGCTGCTTGCCAGGTATCTGACACCAGACACGGCTCTGGCAGACACAAAGGGCTGTGCCAACAACCCTAGTTAAGGATGCATTCTAGCTGTCTGTTGCATTATTCAGCTCACTGCAATGAAAACTCCAGATCAGGCTGTAGCTGAGAGAGATTCCTTGGGCTGTGTAGATGGGGAATTGGTGCTTTCTATGCTAGGATTTTACCAGATTTTTTAAATAGGAAAAGGGAACATATGCAGAGGAACACAGGGTAGCCAGACTCACCCTGCAGAGCAATCCAGTTGTGTAACTCCATATGACAGGGCAGATGGGTCCTGTTGCTGCTGGGACAGTGCAGGCAATTACAAAATCATGAGTGCAAAATCTACAACACCTATGATTTTATCCTCAGATATTAGACCTCAGATTCAGAGGTTTCTATATAATTTTGCTGAAACTGCAACTGTGTGGGCAGCTGAGACCACACAAAAGCCTGTGAGAGTGAAAAGGGGGGGCAAAGACATTTTCCCAACACTGCTTTTCTCCACCCTCTCCTACCATCTCATTGACACAATAAGAAACATCTGTTGCCTTTTTAAAAATTCAGTTAATTGTTTCAAATTATTTCTGGGTAGACAGGCCTGAAACAGACCATTCATTTCAAGCTGAAGTAGCTTCAGCCTGACTGAAACAACAGAAAACAGTAACACCTACCTTCATAGGTAGTAAGATTTATATATACTTTTGAATATTCAATGAATTTTTCCTGTCTCTTAGCATGCATTGAATGCACAATTATTGAGCTATAGAGAAGATAATTTTTAAAATAATGTTCCCATTTCCCACCCCTAGCTGCATATCCGACCTTTTGGAAGATTTTTCAAACAGGTCCCAACTGAGTTTGGAGAGCCAGTTTGTAGATTTGAGACCCAGTCATCTAGGTGACAATAATTCTGCTTTTGGTGCTCTCTCTCAGGCTGTGATTTAAGAGCCTTTGAAAATACTCAGCTGCATCGCATGACATTTTAGAAAATTGCTTGCTGAATTATATTATAGCACCTTATGAATAGCTGACAGACTAATATGCCTGAATAAAAATGCCACAGTGTTACTGTTGTGTGTTTGAGACTAAGCATGCAGAATGAGCAGCTCCACAAAATGTGGCATTTTAGTGTTGTCAGGATAGCACATGCTGTAGCAAGGTACTGATCACTGATGTGTAGTAGGCTTCTCTTCAAAAGCATTGGACATGGGCAGTCTGATTCAGATGCTACATGAGAGCCAGGCTTCTTTTTGTCATCTCTATACCATTCATGGGATCTTAGATGCGTTTCAAATCACTTCCATGACATGTGTGGTAAAAAGCTATTTTGGCTTTTCCACAACTTCTTACTTAGGTACATGTTACTATTTTCATCGTCCTTCCATTTGTGTAAGATGGAAAACTTGTGGCCTCTAGTGGAGGGATGGCACATGAACAATGTGCAGACTGCAGAGAAATCAGAACTGGGAGGTTGTTTCCCCTGCAGCCAGAGGTGTTGGATAGTAGTGGCATAATAGTGAAGGAAACAGCTTCTTTGATGATCCTGGCAGAGGAGTTCAGAGTTTTAAACAATCACATGTAAATACATGTGTTTATCTCCAAAGACATTCAGCTCCATATCTGAGACTTTCAGAAATTAGCTGGTTGTCTTCCTTTTCTGTTAACAGTAACTGTTTGACTTTAGGCAGCAGAGCAGGTGAGAAATGCAGATGTGCAGCCTCTTAGGCTGAAGTAAGCAGTAAAATTCACTGGCCAATTACCAGATATTGATACTCCAATTACATCACAACTCTTCTATGTGCCCTGATGTAAAATGGAACTAACTCCAAGATGTGTGCTTATTAGAGCTCCAACTTTGGAAATTAAAGCACTAGTAAATAAAGAAATAGAAAAACCACTAAAATTGCATGCATAATTTTTGCATTTTGAGTGAAATGAAAATGTCTGTTCTAACTGGAAAGAAGCAATTTTGACCTGCTAGTTTGAAAATGGGTTTTGAGCTGCTTATACGAATAGGTTTTTATAAGTAGACTCTGCTTTATAGAATCTTTGTCAGCTTTGGTTGCATTGATTACTTGTTCTTTGATATTTTTGTTTTGAGTATAATTTTGCTGGTTTCTCTTTTGTAAAGGACACTGAAGCCATGAAGAGAGCTTTAGCCTTAATAGATTCAAAGATGAATCAGGCAAAAGGTTGGCTGAGAGATCCAAATGCACCTCCAGGTAATATTTAAACACAAACAACAGCATAAAGTATTTTGATTTTTGAAGGTCTCATTATTTCTGTTGTTTAAGACAAAATTGTCTTTAAGCATTAATAACCCTTACATAGTGGATCATTCTGAAGGTACCTGTATTTATTCCTTTCTTTAGATACTGGGAATTGAACAAGATGTGTATAATGACCTAGAAGGCTTTACTTCTTCTAAATGGTCTGAAATATGTGTTCTGTGGAACATATATGTTCTTCATTTGCATTCCAGCAGTAAACCCAAAAACTTAGGATTTGAACAGTACTTAATTGTAGCCATGGCTGATATTTAAAATCCCTTCTTTTGTATTTTCATATTTTTATAACTTGAGATTTCCCTAACAGAATCTCTTTAAGTGTTTTTCTTTCAGTCTTGACATAAAATTTTTAGTATGAGTATCTGCCATAAATATGCTTAATTGCGATCACCTTTACTTATATAAGGGGTTTGTTTACCTTTGTATGCATCTTTAAAGTAAACAAAACTCAATAGAGGCCTGTTCCATGGTTTAAAGACCTTTTTAAATGGACTTCCTCTGAAATCAAAGCCAAACTAATAGAGTTGTAAAAGTTGGATGTGAATTGTTGTTTTTTTGGTGTATATCTCCATTTTTGGTAAATGTGCTTTCCTGACTGAACCTAACGCAGTTCACGTGACATGATGATATCAGGAGTTTTCTCATACATGTGACAGAATGTCTTGTTTGCTGTACTGACTGACCCTGTGCCTCAGGGGATGCTGGTGAGCAGGCCATAAGGCAGATCCTTGATGAAGCTGGCAAAGCAGGAGAGCTGTGTGCAGGCAAGGAGCGCAGAGAGATCCTGGGCACCTGCAAAACCCTGGGGCAGATGACGGATCAGCTGGCTGACCTGCGGGCCAGGTAAAGCTCTGCTTGGGCTGGGCGCTTCCCAGCTGCTACTGAAATCTTTTCTCTGCAGTTGGCACTTCCTAACCTGTAGAAAGCAGGCCAGAAGTGTATTTTGCCTTTTTTACTTCAGTTTTTTCTTTTCTGATGAGAATACGTTTTAATAGGAGAAATTTTAATTACATAATATGATGATTAGAATTGCTCAAGTAGATGATTCTGACTTTGCTTGCTGTCTAACACATAACTTTCCTCCAAATTAGGCAGAAAGGAAATTTTAAAGTCTCCTCTTAAGTCTGTTCTTCAAAGAGGATATACTCCAATTACTGTAAGATACATGGATATTCTACTTTTTAGGTGTTTTTTGGGATGTTAGATCACATGTGGTGGTTGTTGTTTATCCTTCACTGGCAAATTCTATTGAACTTTGTGTCACGTGATTGAGGCAGCTAAGACATTTTATTGTCATATTTATTTTTTTAATTGACTTGCTGTCATCACTTAGATGTAGGAAAATTTTAACTCCTGCAGATTCTGACTCTCTGCAACAGTCTGTAAATGAGGAGAAAAGAGGCCTTGTCCTGGGCACTTTAGTGGAACTGTATCCTTAAATAACTTTACTTTTTGACTCTTAAAATGTTTATTCCTCTGAGACTGCTAAGTGTCACATTCTGGAATACAGAAAATATGTTCTTAGTTTTATCTCTACTTCTGTTCCTCACTTATTTTTTGTTTCCTTAAGGAGGAAACAAAATCTTATTAAGTAGTATATCTCTTGCAGTAAATGCTGGGAATAAGCATAAAGAGGTTTTGTTGCTCCTTGACTAGAAAATAGCTTTAGTCAGTCCTGAGCTGAATCTGTGGTGCTCTCTTTGGGCAGAGGACAGGGTGCCACCCCCATGGCCATGCAGAAAGCCCAGCAGGTGTCCCAGGGGCTGGACCTGCTCACTGCCAAGGTGGAGAACGCAGCCCGCAAGCTGGAGGCCATGACCAACTCCAAGCAGGCAATTGCTAAGAAGATTGATGCTGCTCAGGTACCACTAGGGATTAATAAATCTTTCAGAGCTGTTTTACTGAACTACTGTAGTTGTTTCCAAACAAAACACAGTTACTTGATAGGAAGAACATAGAGGGGATACTTGCTTTAACAAAGAAAAATCTTAAATTCAGTGATTTACATCATATGGTGAATTTTGCTTCATTTGATGATCTTTTTTGGTAACTTACTTGGCATTGCTAAAAATTTCAAGGTTATTGAATTAAAACTATGGAACACCCTAAATTTGCATATAGACTAATCTTACTAAAGAAAAGAATAGAAGGGTTTTAGATTGAACAGACCTATTTGTGGATAAAACCAGAGCCCTTTCTTTGGCCTCTGTTTTGGGAGTGGAGTTCAGGATTTAGAACTGTATGTTAATGAAGCTGCATTTTCTTTCAATTGATTATTTTTGTTAGTCTTAATGTCCCTCAATGGTCAGTCTTTTACCCAGTGATGATTATGATTATCATCAAATAATATACCTTATCTAAATGTGTATATGTGTCTATTATCAATATATAAAGATACATTAATATTATATATGTATCAAATGAAATGGTAATGGGACTTTTTAGGAAGAGCTCTGTGTACCACCCTGGGCTCAAGAGCATCTGTTTTCATTTTTTTCTGAAAGTCACATAATCGGTTTCTAAAGGCAGTGATTCAATTTACTTCTAAAACACTACTGGCAAATGTTGATGGCAGAGACAGAATGTAAAATCTTTGGGTAGATTTTATCTAGTTTGACTTTTTTTTTTTCAAAACAGAAAAACTATGAGGCAGTAGAATAAAGTTTTGAAAGCTCTGTTGGTATTTTCTTTCCCTATAAAATCATGTGTAGAATAAACAGTACTTTTTGTCTTCGCTTGAACACAACTTCTTTCTGTTAAGAATTGGCTTGCAGATCCCAATGGGGGCAGTGAAGGGGAGGAGCACATTCGGGGCATTATGGCTGAGGCAAGGAAAGTTGCAGAAATGTGTGAGGAGCCTAAAGAGAGAGATGACATCCTTCGTTCCCTGGGGGAGATCTCTGCTTTGACAGCCAAGCTGTCAGATCTGCGCCGACAGTAAGTGTTTGTTTCATCACCACTGATTGATTTATTTCAATTACTTTCCTGTACAGTTTCCAATGCTGAGCAAGATCATTAAAACAAACCCTTTTAAGTTATTCAACCTAGTGATTTCTATCTCAAACCCTAGCATGCACTAGCTTCCTTAAGAAAAAGTTAACCAGATATGGAAGTATTTTCTTTTTACTGCCTGTGGAATATTTGAGAAGGAAACTGAAGCCAAAAGTGAGCTTGTTTGTACTGTTGAAACAACAAGGTAAAGGGAAATATAAGTTTATGCAGATGGTTGTCATGACTGGTTTTTGCTAAGCACTTTACTAAATAACAAGGTGGAATATCTACCACTTCGATCACTGTCAGTGTTCTAAGTTGTAACTGCAAACTATACAAAAATAAGCCTTTCAGAAATTCTATTTCTGTATCAGTTTTGCAAAGAGGCTGCTTGAGAATGGAAGAGGAGAAAGAAACTGTTATTGTACAAATTGTCATCTTCACCTAAGGCTGCTTGCAATATAGCAGTAGATATTTTTCTTCCTTCATTAGTTAGATGCCTTATTCAAGTTTTTATTGAGCTTTAGCTGCTGTAGGTCCTAATGTGCTACCTTTTGTCAGGTTTGTATCTAGCCTTTGCTCTGTGGCTGCTTACTCTTCTGCTTGTAATCTGTGTGACATGATTGCAGTTGCTCATAAGACGGCCATGGAAATGGGAAATCAATTCTTACACCAGTATTGGCAATGCCAGTCTATGCCTTCCCTCATCTCAGTGCTGTGCTCAACATGTGTGGTGTCCAGGTACCACAGCAGAGAATTGCTCCTCAGAGTCTCAACCCAAGGGTCAAATTCAACCTTATTTAAAAATACTGAGATCCTTTTATTGCGTGTCTTCCTGCTGAACTTGAGATAATCTGTAAATGATCTTTCTATGACTACACTGTTTTTTTTTTTTTATTTTTGAATCCTTAGTGGGAAAGGTGACTCTCCTGAGGCTCGTGCTTTGGCTAAGCAAATAGCGACATCACTTCAGAATTTACAGTCCAAAACAAACAGGGCTGTAGCAAATACAAGGCCAGTTAAAGCAGCTGTCCATTTGGAGGGCAAGATTGAACAAGCTCAGAGGTGGATAGACAATCCCACAGTTGCTGATAGGGGAGTAGGTAAGTGTTTCTCTGTGATTTCCCCCCACCCAGATTTAGAATCAAACCCGTCACCAGTTTTTGTGGTGGAAACTACTGCTCCTGAAATGCTGAGGATGCACTGAATCTTCACTGGTGTGGAGACTTAGAGTTATAGCTAAGTCCTGACTGCAATTACCAAATTAAGCTGGCCCATGATTCTCTTTGTGTTCTTTCCTGAAGAATGGAAGAACATGTTCTGTAGAGAAAACAAACTTAAGATTGCTCCTTGCTTTCCTTATTATGCAAATACTGTATCTCAAATTTGAATTTATACCTACTCCAGCAAATTGAGTAATTAAGTCCTTCTGAGAAGAGAAAAACACTCATAAACCTGACCTAGAAGTATCACTTCTTGTATGGCTTCTGGGTTATCTGAGGAGAATGCTAACAATTAAAGAGAAGGGGGATATGATAATCTCATTTTACTCTCAATGAGCATATAACTCTGGTTCAGGAGTTGCTGGCACTTGGCAGGGTACTCATAAGAAAAGTAAATTAAGAATATAAAAGATGCCAGCAGTGCTGAGTGATTCTTGGATAGTCTGATGCTGTGACAACTTCCTAAGTAATTTAAAGCTTGATCACAAACTTGGATTACTTATGGGTTAGCATTAGTTTAAAATTATTCTTCAGTAGGTCTTTGGAGTTAATACATGATGAGTTCTTTTAAAAGAATACTGCTATTGTATTATTGAAAGAACAGAGACCTATATTCTTGTGAATGAGCAGGAAGCATCTGTAAGTGAATGAAGGAAATTACCCATGCTAAAAATAATTTTTTTTTTATGGAAAAGCTTTTGACACACTGTGGAGGCTTTGTAAGGTGTTCCCTACCCCCACTGTCCCTTGCAATCCAGACTACTTGACACTTCTTACTTATGGCTTCTGAATTCTGGGAGAGAGGGCATTTGGCTTTTTAAGTTGTCCTTTCTTCCCCTCTTGCTGCTTATCTTCTAATGAGGGGATGAATTGCAGTATTTGAAATTTGTAAGTGCTCCATTGGATTCAACAGATTAGTTATGTAGAAATACCTGACAGCTGCCATGGTTAATTTTTGTCAAACTACTCTAATTAAAAAGGATATATCTCTAGCCAGAGTTGCTGAATTAAGCAAAATGAAACTGGAGACAGTTGAATTCCTCAGTGGTTTTGAACTGTAATTATTCAGTGATAAACGGCACAAGATCTTCTCTGCCACCTAGGGGAGCGTTGTTAAGAGCCCAGGGGTTGTGCTGTGTGCTCACAGGCGTGCGGTGCTTGCTGTGGCTCTGGTGTGTGTCCCCGTGTTTCACTGCCCTGTCCCCTGCAGGCCAGGCTGCCATCCGCGGGCTGGTTGCCGAGGGCCGGCGCTTGGCCAACGTCATGATGGGCCCGTACCGGCAGGAGCTGCTGGCCAAGTGTGACCGCGTGGAGCAGCTCTCTGCCCAGCTGGCCGAGCTGGCTGCCCGCGGCGAGGGGGAGTCCCCGCAGGCCAGGGCCATTGCAGCTCAGCTCCAGGACTCGCTCAAGGTAAGGACCTGCTCTGGGCGGGCAGGCACTGAGACCCCTCGCTGCTCTGAGCCAGCCTTGTGTGTGTGAGGCCCCCATAGAAACAGCAGGGCGGCTGCAGAGCTGCTGCTTTAGCTGAGGTGCTTAAAGCAAACTTTCTAGAAAGGCCTTGTTATCGTGCCACGGGGGTTAATTTCAGATGAACAGCTTAGAAGGAACATTTAAGTCTGTCTTTAAAAAACAGTATACTAGCATTGCAGATTTGAGGGGCAAGGTCTCAAATCATGCTGTTCATTCCTAGCACTGTGATTGGTATACTACCATAGCCTCCAAGTTTTAGGAGCAGGGCTGCCAGCAGCATGGAGCTGGCAATGGGGGCTGCCACGTGGGCTTTAGGCAGTTGTAGGTGCAGGCCCTATAGGGGGGCTTTGACTCTGAACGCTGGGAGGAGGGCTAGGCTTGCCACTAGGCCTGATCAAGAACAGTTTAATGTAGGGTGTGAAATGTAGGTGTAGAGCTTAATAGAAGCTGCTTCAAGGAGTGGTATGTAAGCTGTGTATATTTCAAATTATGTAAAAGGTGATGAATTGGTCATACTTTTAAGGAAATTTTATCTTAATGTCTGTCATTGGAACAGGCATTTTTTTGCAAGAGAAGGCTTTATGGGATTTGAACCCTTACAACTTAATATCCCTCTATCATATGCTAATAATTTTCCCCTTTTTTAAGGATCTTAAAGCACGAATGCAAGAAGCAATGACCCAGGAAGTTTCTGATGTTTTTAGTGACACCACAACTCCTATTAAATTGTTAGCTGTAGCAGCCACTGCTCCCTCTGATGCTCCCAACAGAGATGAGGCAAGTATACCCAGGTGGTCTTTTCTTTCCATATAAAGCTTCAGTTACTGTTTAATTTTACCTGAATTGGTAATTTGAAAAATAAATCAGTGTCCTGAAAAATGAATTGGTATTTAAGTTTGTGGTACATGCTTATTAATTCTGACAACATTGATTACTGTGCAAACCTCTCCAGACTCCTGGAGACTGTGAATTGTATAACCCAGTAAACAGTGTTGTCCCTGACTTCATAAATGGCAAAAATGTCTCCCCATGTTGCTGGTACCACATTGCAAAACTTTAGTGCAAAAATCCTAACACACTAGTTGGTGGATTTTTATATCCCAGCATTACATAAGCTGATTACAATAGTCAAATTCATGCCAGAATTAATCAACAGACTAAACCTGTTCTCTTGCTGGATATTGTTTCCTGTACTTGAAAGCCACTGGCTGCACATGAAGTACCTAAAATGCAGTGTCTGGCAGTTCTGTTTGGCTGTTCTGGCATCTGGCTACATGATCAAAATAATTCCCAAGGCTTTGGAGAATTCAGCTTTATGGCAGGATAGCTTTTTGTCCAAGTACTCTGTTTCTGGAAGATCTAAGTACTGTAAAAGAAGGCAATTTGCACTTTTTCCAGTGTGAATTTTTAGTGTAAACCCCCTTATTTATCTTTTCAATATAGTTTACTTTTGTATTAGGGTTTGAAGATGAATCTCTGAGCTAAAACAGTTTTAATAGAGTATTTCTTGCAGCAGCAGTCACCAGGAATTACTGAACTTCATACCTTGAATCTATAAAGTGCATAGCCATCTCCTTAGTTGTGCCATTGAGTTAGTAAAGAAGAAAGTCTGGTAATGTAAAGATTAAGAAAACCAAATGCCTTCAAAGCTTTTGTGTCCTTTTGCATCCTCTCAGGATGAGTTAAGTGGGGATGTTACAAAGGTGTTTCTGACACTTTGAAGAAATTGTGTGTTCTGTGAAGGAGGTTAGGGCTTTTGTAAATGCTTTTTTGTCTTCTGACAACTAGGTTTTTGATGAAAGAGCAGCAAATTTTGAAAACCATGCTGCTAGACTGGGAGCTACAGCAGAAAAAGCAGCTGCAGTTGGAACTGCCAATAAAAGTACTGTGGAGGGCATTCAGGCAACAGTGAAATCAGCAAGGGAACTCACCCCACAGGTGGGTCTGAAGGGTTGTTAAAAGGACTGGGGATGACTTCTGGGGAATTTTCCTGATGCTTCTGTTCTCAAAGAAAGAGATGGTTGTTGATTGATGCTTGTTAATACCAACAAAGAACATAGTGCTGACACTCTTAAAAGGGGAATGGCAAATATTTCTATGCATGATCCTAAAAGTAGAACAAAAGATCAAGTGACACATTTTATTTTTCAACGCTTGGACAGAAGTGTCTGTGACTTAGACATGAAACAAAATGATTTTGAGGCTTAGTAAAATATGTAAGGGGAAAAAATGCTCTTTTTTTATTCCAAACTAAACTTCTATCTAAATGTTGGTAGCATAATAAGTATTGTACTTTCGTGTTTTCAAGAGTGGTTTATATGAAATTAGTGCATAATTGAAGTTCCAGAAAAAAGTATTTATGCCAGCTAATTTCAGAAGTATAGTAGATCTTCATGGAGCTAGATACTGCACTAGAATGAATGAACTAGGTTTTCAAATGTGGAGCTACACATCAAATAATGAAAAAACGAAAGCATTTTCAAGAATGTGTGTAATGTTGATGTGTACTGATAATTAGAAATGTCTTCTGTTGGCAGGTAGTATCAGCAGCTCGTATCCTCTTGAGAAATCCTGGAAATCAAGCTGCTTATGAACATTTTGAGACCATGAAAAACCAGTGGATTGATAATGTAGAGAAAATGACAGGTAAAGTAAGAATTTTTGTTGAAGATCCTACCTGTGGCTAACTAGCTTGTATAGATTTTTCTCCACGCTGTTTGGATTGATGAAACATGCAAAGAATAATGATTGATTAAAAATAAATTAAGAGAAGAGGCAATGTGCTCTCTCACCCCAGGAATATGTATATGTTATAGAATGTACAAAATAGCTGGCTTCTTATCTATTAATACTGAGCTGTAGAGGAGCAAATCCTGCTTTAGTTCTTTTTTGGGAAAATTGAAATACCATCATTTTTTTATTGCAGTTGCTATTCTAGTATATCACTGTGACAACTTGAGGTTTTCTTCTGCATAATCTTGGCATGTTGAAATAGGACAGATGATTAACTGAAGGAAAGAAAATATCTTCAAAATACTGAAGCAGCTCAATGAATACAGGGAATAAGACAAAGCTACTGCTCCTGCTGAGGCACTGAAATGTTTCAGTCCTTCCCAAGTGCAGATCCTTTGACTGACCTGCTGAACAGCTGACTGTACTATCTCCTCCTTCATCTCAGTAATTAAATTCCGGGTATTTTAAATCACCTCTATGTAAAAAGCACAGACAGAGGGATGTTTCCTTTGGAATAAATGGGAGAGTACAAAAAGTACTGAATATGCTTAAAAAAATTGGGTGTGAAGAAAGAAACTCTGCTGCATATTCTGTGTAAGCCAGTTCTTGACTAAAACAACATTCCATGGTAGAGGAATAAGAGCTTGGGATGTCCTTAACAAGCTTACCATGGTAACTGTCACAGAGGTACAACAGAATCATGAGTTAAACTGCAGTAGTAGTTTGGTCTGATTTCCACGCCCTCTTCTACTCTTCCCCTGACCTCAGTTTTAAAATACTTTTCTGGTTTTGAACTGTCTCTGGAATACCAAATATCCCTTTCCACAGATAAAACTAGAATATTAATGTATTGAACTTTTATTCTAGGGTTGGTGGATGAAGCCATCGATACTAAATCTCTGTTGGATGCATCAGAAGAGGCCATTAAGAAGGACCTGGACAAATGTAAAGTTGCAATGGCCAACATGCAGCCTCAGATGCTGGTAGCTGGTGCCACCAGCATTGCCAGGCGAGCAAACCGCATCCTGCTGGTCGCAAAGCGGGAGGTGGAAAATTCTGAAGACCCCAAATTTCGGGAGGCTGTTAAAGCAGCCTCTGATGAGCTGAGCAAAACTATATCACCCATGGTAATGGATGCTAAAGCTGTGGCAGGCAACATTTCTGATCCTGGTAAGGATTCAGTCTGCTAATTTAAAATGTGCTTTTTATTGACTGGAGATGATGTGAAGTAGGGCTCATTTTTTTAATACAGCTGTGTATCTCCTTTTATGTAAATATGGTGTACACTTACATCTCAGAATGATGAAATCAAGCTCACACCATTAACTGCTGCATCCTGCTGTTCTAAAATGCAATCAAAGGCCTTTGCCATATTCAAGGGAAAAGGATTCAGCATTCTAATATGTTATGCGATTTCATGTTCTTAATTAGAAACATTTGTTAGTAGTTTTAAGTAATACTACTTTATAGCAGAAAATACTACTTTATAGCAGAAAATACTATGTAGTTTTTTTGATTCTAAAAGTTGTTCAGGGAATTACTTTGGCTATTGATAGTGATTATTATTCAGCCAAGGCTTTATTGTATGCATGTTGCATGTGACACAACATTTCAAGCATGCAAGTCTGCTGTAAACAATTTGGTAGTTTCTAAATACAGATGAAAGTGTACTTGGCACAGTACATTGGAGAAGTAATTTTTGGGGGTAGTGTTCTCAGTATTACCAAGTTCTATTAAATTGGTATTAAACCGTTTTGGAATTTTTGTTCAGGTTTGCAGAAGAGTTTCTTGGATTCTGGATACAAAATTCTGGGAGCTGTGGCCAAAGTCAGAGAAGCCTTCCAGCCTCAGGAACCAGATTTTCCTCCTCCTCCTCCTGACCTTGAGCACCTTCATGTAAGTGTAGGTAGTTGGTAATAAAAGACATAGTTGTCATTGACGTGTGGATTACACCGAAATGACTTCAGTGTACTATTCTTCCTTAGAAATAAAAGGTATTGTCTGGCCAGCCGTGCATACAAGTAGCCTCAAGTCTAAAAAATATCCATCCACCATTCAAAAGGAAAGTTTAAAACATAGTATTTTCTTCAACAGGAAGCACTTGGAAAACTGGAGAAAGACCTGAGGTCATGCAGCCATGTCCTGCCATGACACCATTGTTTGCTCAGTCTTTGCTCTGTTGCATTGCTCTCAATAAAATGTTTGCCTCCCTCAGCTGACTGACGAGCTCGCTCCTCCGAAACCACCACTGCCAGAGGGGGAGGTTCCCCCACCCAGACCACCACCACCTGAAGAAAAGGATGAAGAGTTCCCAGAGCAAAAGGCAGGAGAAGCAATCAATCAGCCCATGATGATGGCTGCAAGGCAGTTGCATGATGAAGCCCGGAAATGGTCTAGCAAGGTAGGAAATTGTTGTAAGTGTTTTGTGCTTAAAGGATTCTCTTTTTGGTTTCAGGATCAGTGTGTCTTAAGACAGTGTCTTTCACAGACTAAATAGTAAAAACACTGGTGTAGGAAGAATTAGAAACCCTTTCAAGATCAGAGTGAACTAGGGTCAACAATACTTAGGATTGCTAGACTGCTTTATTAACATAGCCCTGGGAACACAAATATGCCCTGTATGCCAAGCTGTTTGTGATCCTTGGTGCTGGTATTGCCTAGAGAGTCACTAATACTCATGCTTGTGCAGCCTGACAAGCTGATTGCTATATTTAATTGACTTTGAAAAGTCTGTGTGGAAAAGTCCATATGGATGTTGCAGATGCCAGCTGCAGAAATAGTGAACTGGTTTGTCTTAATTCTGGAGGAAGCTGCAAGGTACTCTGCTGTTAATCAGATGCATTTATGATGGGGAAAATGACCACATATTGGTAGCCTAGTCTTGTTCTTTTTTTGGAGTGAGTCACATTTCCTGTTAAGGCTGAAATCCTGAATTTCCATTTCAGTCCTATGAAGAAGTGTGAATTTGCTGGTCTCATAAATGCTAATATCACTTTCTTTTGCTTTTCTTTTCTCCCTCCTTCCCCCAAGAGCTACATTTTTTCTCTGGCAGAAGCTGAGTGCTGAGAAAGAACTTCAGAGGTTTAGGCTTCTGCAAGTGTAAATTTAAGGGACAGAATTTGGCTTTTTTAATCTCTCCCTTTTTCTAATTTTTCTGCACTAAATTAGATGGTGAGTAAGGAGATAAATTTGAGTAGCTTACAGAATCAACTTCAGTGCTTTGGACACCTGTTTTGGAAGCACAGATAAAATACAAAAGAAGTTTCTGCAAATCTCTTTGGGTGTCTCTTATCCAAAATCCAAAGCTCTGTTTTCGCCATACTTCTGGATATAACAAGCACTTTTTTGTATTACTAAAGAGACAGTATTGGAATGTATTAGTGATTTCAGAAGGTAATTTTGAGGCTAAAAGCCTTAAGACTTATACAAAAGCTGCCTTTGAAGACAAGTTGATTTGGCCTTACAAATCAACAAATCACAATCCAAAATTCCTGTATGTTGTTGTTGCCAGAGATTTTTTTTTTCCTATATAAGATTGTATCTTAAGCAAAACACAGTTGCAAATGCACAGTTTTTGGTAAGGGTGCCTTTACTTTTATCACACTTGGCTTTAGTTGAAGAAATACTGTTAGTAAACTTGTAGACTATTTTTGTATTGATATTGCAGTCTAATTAATGCCTATATTGTTATAACTCTCACCTCTTCCTTGAGAACATCTCTAATGTAATTTGCTTGAACCCCCTTTTTTTCTTTTTGAAGGTAATGGATACAACATACCGTGGCAAAATAGTATCATAGGCTTCATAATCCTCTTTTTTAATTAATTCCATTTCAGTCTTCTGTAAGAACTGTCATATTCACAGTATTCATGGCATTCAACATCACCTCTTCTATTTTGAACCCTGTGTTGCTCTTTTACATGTTCTATGTGGTACCTCAGTACTTGCTTCTACAGTGTCTTCCATCCCATCTTTTCTTTTACTCTACAGCAAGCAGTGTCAGTGGCTTTTCTGCTGCTATCTGCTCTTATCACACATATGAATGGGCTTCCATACAAAGCTTTGTATCTGCACAAATACCACAGTCATCTGCTGCTGTGCCTGCTCCTGTGCAGTCAGAACAGCTTCCATTGAGACAGAAAAGCCATTCATTTCATTGTTGACCTGCCAGTAAAATGTTCTGTGGGTCAGCCTCTGTCTGCAGAAGCTGAATGCTCAGATGGAAAATGTTGCTGCATATCTGAATTGTAACTTTTAATATTTTGGTAACTTTGGTTCACAGGTGAACTGTTTGTTTCCTTCTGCTAATTTCATATTCCTTCCCCTCCTCCCGTTGACCTGATCCTAGAGCTGCCTTGTCAGATCCTGAGAGGCCAAGAGGATGTTTTGGTCACTAAAACTGCTCAGTTTGTGCTCTTCTACCAAATTCTGCTTCTTGTACTAACTGTCCCCTGTTTCTCCACCCTTGCTGCCACCTGCAAAGCCTGATGTGACTGTGATTAATGAAGCGGCTGAGGCTGGTGTAGATGTAGATGAGGAGGATGATGCAGATGTTGAATTCACTCTCCCCTATGACATTGAAGATGATTACGAGCCTGAGCTGCTGTTAATGCCAACCAATCAGCCCGTTAACCAGCCCATTCTGGCTGCTGCTCAGTCTCTACACCGGGAAGCAACCAAGTGGTCTAGTAAGGTACTCCTGAGTCCCGGGACTGATCCGCGTGCATCCGGCCACTTGGAACGTGACACATTTGCATCACTCCTGATCCCTGCTGGGCCCCGCCATCCTGAATGAATAAGTGTGTCTGCACTTCATTTTAAGGACTGAGAGTGGCTTCACAAGTTTGCTAGATCTGTTTGTCAGTGCCGGATTGAAGCTTGATTGGGGTCACTTATTAATATTCAAAGACTTCCTCTCCCTTTGCATCTGCCTGGTCTTCTTTGTTATGGCAGTTTTCAAATTTTAATAGGGATTGTCTTCCTCCCCTCTGGTTCCTTTTTCCATTCACGTGGGCTACCTGGGAAGCTGTGCTTAATGGTTTCCTAATGACTTCCGGATACAGCAGAGTTACAGAATTCAAGAAGTCATTTAAGGTGTCTATTGTGCTTGGCCTCAATTGATGCCGCCAATTAACATCCCTTCCAACAAGGAATGGCTTTGTATGGCAGTGTTTGTGGAAGAGACTGCCTGACTGCTGGCTTGCACTGGGCTGTATTGCAAATGCTGGTCTTGAGAGAATTCTTTTCTGAAGAAGCTGCACTGAATGCTGTTAGCTGTTGAATTGAGATCCTGTCTATATGAAACCAGTGGAAATCTAACGAGGTTCAGACATTCACAAGTAGTCTGTCTTCTGTCTAAGCACAAATGTTTGCAAGACTGGGCACTTTTCATAGCATGCTGCAAAAAATAAGGTTGGTGTCCCATAACAAACAAAAGTTAGGGGAGTGTGCATATGTATGTGTGTGTGTATACTTACATAGATAGTTATACTAAACCATTTTAATAAAAAGGGCTTTAAAAATGTTCTTGTCCTTTTCAGATTCTGGTGCTTGGATAACTTGTTAGACTGATCCTTCTACGTGAAAACATGGAAAAACTTTGTGTTATGTCATTTATATCCTAACTGGTTATAGTAGCAAACTGTTTAGCTAATAGGCCACGGTAATGAATAGTTCAGCTGTTTGGGTCACTGTATCTGTAAAACGCCTGGGATCTCATCTTGAACTTGCTCGTAGTGAGTCACAGAAGTGTGTGCACAGGGTACAGGATACCTTGGCTTAGCTGGGTTCTCACTGTGTACTCCTTGCTCTGAACTTCATGGGTCATTATCTGTGGGATTATTCCAGGGGAAGGGTGTACTAATACTTAAACTCACTCTGCTGCTATTTCATCCACACAGTAGGAATGCTTCAAAGCACCAAATAGTTCTCTTGTGACTAACAACTTTCTATGAAGGGGAATAAGATAAATAAACTAAATGTACTGACAGACTACTAACAATCAATCAGTTAGGTCTGCTTTCTCTTGCACTAGGTTTCTCTTTGGAACAGTGTATAAGAAATGGGTTTGACTTGTTCACAGTTAATTCACATATCAAATATTTCTCAGATGTATTGCTGTGACTGTAAATTTTGATGCACAAGAAATCTTGATTTTAATATAAGAAATATCACTGGATTATCTTTTGATTATCCAGGTTCTTCTCTCCTGGAGGCTTTATTTTAAAGAGAGAGATTTATCAAAAAAGATTTATTTTCAAGGAATAATTTTTAAAAGAGTAAAAGTTGCATCTCACTTCCACATTACCGGTGACAAAAGTTATATGTGTTGGATTCTCTTCCATTTATCCTTTGGCATTATTAGCAGCATGGCTGGTGCTTTACCAACTTCAGTTTCAGATGCCACTGAAAATCCCATGCTCAACTGCTATGACAACAACTGGTTTAATAGGTTGTTTAGCACTTTTTTTTAACTTTAAAAGAAGTCTTTTTTGGGGAAAATCTGGAATTTCAAATGCTAATAACATGCTTTATCCTAAAATCTAGTCATCAGAGAAGTAACTCCTTCTGTGGACAAACTAACACTTTACAACTTCTTTTTCAGTTTTGAAGTGAGCTTTTTTCTCTGAGCGTTAAAAAAAAAGTCAGAAATGAGTAGTTAGTAGAGATCTTCCATGTTCCTTGAAGAAACCCCTCCTGTGTTCACAAATGGTTCTTCCACTTGTTCACACTTCTTTGAGTGTTTCTGCTGAGCAGTGAGGTGCTGGCAGGAGCAGTGACCGTGTCATTCTGTGCAGGGCAACGACATCATCGCGGCGGCGAAGCGCATGGCGCTGCTCATGGCCGAGATGTCGCGCCTGGTGCGCGGCGGCAGCGGCAACAAGCGCGCCCTGATCCAGTGCGCCAAGGACATCGCCAAGGCCTCCGACGAGGTCACCCGGCTCGCCAAGGAGGTGGCCAAGCAGTGCACGGACAAGCGCATCAGAACCAACCTCCTGCAGGTAACCTGGGAGCTGCTCAGTGCTGCTTCTGCTCTGCCTCTCTCGCTGGGGGGGAGCACAGGAATCATGCCAGGAAATCATGGCTGTCTTCCCTTGGCTTGTAAAGTTTTGTCCAAGTCTATGTTTTTAGATCCCATGGAAATATCTACCTACCTATCTACCTATCTATATTTATTTATGTGAACATATATTCTGTAATGTTAGAATTTGATGTCAAAAGAACTTCTGAAAAAATACTGCGCTACAAATACTGATCTGTCCTAAATTGGCATTGTTTTGTATTTCACTTACTCATTCCTTTGTATCAAAGAATAGTACTAGAAATGCAACAACTTTTCTTCAGTCTCAGGCAAATATATATATATATATAATGCTATTCCTAACCAAGCAGACATTTGAAAGGAAAGGAGGAACAGAAAAATGTTGTCTCCATCCCAAATACTCCCAATGCAAGTAAAATAAGAATCAGATATCCTACCAATATTTATCAAATAGTCTTGAAGGTGGAGGATCACGTCTATTCTCATTCATATTCTAATAGTAAAAGAAAATAAAACATTTTATGTGAAGAAAATGGATGCATTGTGTATTGGTACAATTTACAATATGGAGTGGTTTTTATCCCTATTACCTAGGTCTGTGAGCGAATCCCAACCATCAGTACGCAGCTGAAAATTCTCTCCACTGTCAAAGCTACCATGCTGGGCAGAACTAATATCAGTGATGAAGAGTCGGAACAGGTAAGAGGTGTAAAGACTGATGGTAGCATGGAATTGTTGATCACTTTTATGGGGACAAATATACAACCTGTTCTTTCAGATGTGTTCTGGGAACTTGATGTTGAAGCTCACCTCAGCTGTTTAGGGAGGATAACTTTAGTACAGCACCTTGGATTCTGGCTCAAATGCTACAGTTTAATAGAGAAACAAGCCCGAAAGCTACTCGGGTTCCAATTTTGTGACGAACAACTTGTTAATCTCCTGCTTTGCCCAGTTAAAAAGCAGAGGGAAGGACTGGCCACTGCAGACTGGCCCTGGGAGGGGCAGGGGCGCCCTCGGGTGGATTTCAGGGGAAACGTTTATTTTCCAACAACATCTCGAGTCCCCCTTCATTTGGAAGCTCAGTTACCTTCCAAATGAATCTTTTCAGGAGAAATCTCACAGCTTTGGCTTCCAAGGGAGGTTATTCTACTTAGCGACATAAAGGTTGTATTCAGATTTTGTGCAAATACACAGTGAGGCAAGGAAAAGTTTTGTTTGGAGTCAGGATAATGCTGGTTCCCAGAGACAGTTACTTCACTTGTATTTTCATAGTTTCAGGCAGCAGACAATATATTTGTACCGAGAGTTCAAAGAGATTGTGCACAAAGAGATTACATGCTACTGTCCTAATCATGGTATTTACTGGTATATTGGAAATTCTTTTTCTTGACAGGCAACTGAGATGTTGGTTCATAATGCCCAGAATCTCATGCAGTCTGTGAAGGAAACTGTGAGAGAAGCTGAAGCAGCATCCATTAAGATAAGAACAGATGCTGGATTCACTCTTCGCTGGGTCAGAAAGACCCCATGGTATCAGTAAATACCTGCCACATTAGTATTGTTTTCTGTAACATAAAATCCCTTTTTTTGGAAACAGAAGAGATCTATTAACAGCAGAAGGTGCTGTATACATGAGCTTAAGATTAGCTTATGCTAATGCCCCATTCTAAGGGTATGAATTATAAGATAATGCATTTCAAGTGTCTTTGAAACACATTTGATATCCAACACCTCTAATTTGCTGCCAACAGTAGACAGTTCTTATATTTAATATTTTTTCTTTTTGTTTCCTTTTCAAGATTCTTAGTGAATTCTGTACTTCCAGAAGCACATTTCATTTATGCACTGTATGTTCCAGTAATTTCCATGTGATGATATAAAACATGGACCTCACTGTAAGCTTGTCTTGAGAGTTTAGGACACTTGGTTACTTGGCAGTTTTTTAGGGACAATCATTGACACACAAACATTCAACTTCTCAACGGGACTTTATCTGGCTATTCTAAAACCATGCAGAAATGATGGAAGGTGTGGGGTTTTTGATTAAAAGAGGGAAGGTGAGGCAGCAGAACAGTTGTAAACTGAGGATTAAAGCTCCATGTCTGCAATGCTTTTTGCTTTTGATTCTTGCCTGGCAACAGTACTTTACCAGAAACTGGAGCTCTCTCTGTTCCCCTCCTGTCACCCTGTAGGTAGGCATTCCAGAACTCTCGTACTGTACTGAAAGGTTTTGCAGATTTTGTTAGTGGCACACTGTTGACAGCTTGAGCCTTAAGGCTGGAGACCTTAAATCATGGAACTCTTTGCTTGCTCAATTCAGCACTGTATTGAGCTGAAAAATCCTGGTTCTGTTAACTTAGCTGCATGTCCAGGACCAGAAAATGCCACATGCTGGCTCTTTCTTTTGAAAACCAAATGAGCACATGCAATTATTCTTATTTCCCTCATCCCTCCATCGAATGTTATTCCAGCTGCTCAAGGTGAAAATTAAAAGATAGAGCTATTCAGTTTAAAAGCACCTTTAGGCTGATTGCTCTTCTTTCTAACAGTGCATAAGCTTCTTGAAACCTGAGCTCTGCAGGGGCATGAAACCCTCTTTAGGTAAGCTGGTGCCTACCAGCAAATGGTGGTTCCTAATGCTGCACATACCTCATTATTTTTACTGCTTGTGGAGTTTGGAGTCTCAAAATCTTTTTTCAAGTGAATTGAACAAAGTGTTACTATACTTAAAAAAAAAATCCAAATAAAATGACAACAAACCCCACCCCCTCCAAAACCCCTCCCCATACTAAAATAGACTTATGATGTTTTATCCTTCCAAAATTGAGTATGCCTTCATATATATATATATATATATATATATATACATATTTATACCCGTTCATTTAATGGAAAGGAACACTTATTTGAGAATGAGTTTCTATATTTGCAAGTACTTGCAGACTTTTGCCTAAATCAGCACTGACCTCATAATGCCCTCATAATTTGCTGAGAATTGTTGCACGATCAAACGACCTTGAATAGAAGTGTCCTTGGGGAAAAACTTTTCAGTCTTAACAGCTCAAAGGAAGAGACACAGCACACTCAGCTGTCCTCTACCTGCCTGCCACAGTTATTCTGTGCTTGGACCTTCTCCCCTCCACCCCCTTCATTGCACTGTTATCTAAAAAGGGAAGTTAAACTGATGATAATACAACTGTCTCAAACTGACCTCAGCAAGAGAAGGCTTGTTCTTCTTGAATTTGCTCCTTGTGTCTGGGTATCATGAAATATTTGGTACTTAGGATCTTTCCTTAGTACTCTCTTCTTGCAGTTACCTGCAACAGGAGGAGGAAGGAAGGGGTGCCAGAGCCTTAACCTGGATGCATTTGGTTGGTTTTTATCAGATCTTTAGCCTAATTTTAATGTAGTAATTTCTATTTAATAGTACATAACACTGAATACATAGGGATTATTTTAAAGGGATTTTCTAAATAGTCTTCCTGTATTGCTTTCCAATGCTCCTCACATCCCCTCATCCTGCTCCTGTCATCCAGGCTTCTCTGTGAGATTTTTTTTTAATTATGATTATTATTATTTTAGCATCACTGTTTAGTTGCTTGAAGGATATTAATGCAATATTACTAATGCCTTTAATACATAATTGTTTATGCCAAAGATCACTTTTTGTTTCTTGAGGAATGTTTGCAGGAGAATTATGAATCATGGTTGCCTTTGATATTCTTCCAGAATGTTTGCTCTAAGTTCTCGAACTATTTATAGAAGCCGAGATACTTGACCACCTTATGCAATTTCTGCATTTTTGAACACTATTGGTCTTCAGACCTGATGTGCAGCAAAAATTTGAACAAGACCATGAATGTCACTTAGAAATGTTTTACCACTATAAAACTTTGTTTATAAACCAAATGTATTGTATAGTCTAATGTTTTCAACCTTTCTTTGGTTCTGTTAAAACAATAAAAATGCATTTGTACAAAAATCAGCTTCTGAGTGTTCATGATAACAGCAGTACCAAGAAGAGCAGCAAAAAGCTAAAGCAAAAGAACAGTTGTTTCTACATGTTCTGAACAGAAAGAAAGTGCAGTTTCTCAAACAGGAGAAGATTAAACAAAGGTTTTTGTCTCTTGTGCCTGTCAAACTAGTAATTAAAGAATTTAGTGGAAGCTGTGTTCAGTGGTAGAGAACAGGAGATTTTCCTGAGACCTTACAGTGATCTGCTGTATTGTGAAAACTTAAAATGGGGTTGGCCTGGTGCTGTCGAGGGAAGAACTGCTACTCTGACCAGCATCTTGTTAATGTGAGTTTTACTTGCTAAAGTGAATGCAGGGGTGATGAGTATGGAACCACTGTTGTATTTCCTTCACTCCATCACTGTAAGAACATCTTATAAACACTTCTTCTTACTAAAAATTTCTACCCGCACACAGTGTTCTGACTTGTTGGAACCAATGTTTATTGGTACTGTAGGACCAACCATAGCCTCATAGTCCCAGAGTATTTAGTAATAATTGGTAAAATCCAGAGTTTTGTACTATTCACAGTTCTCTCCATATCTGAAAGAAGATGAGACCCTGACAGACAACTACCTTTGTCAGCAGTCCCAGAGCTGGACATGAGGAGAAGGGGAGATCAGGACTTTGCAGTGTAATTCCTTGCTAATAATACTGTCTGATTCCCTAAACTCTGCTCTTCAGAGAAGTGCTAGTACATTAGTTTTTTCAAACAGAAGAAGAACACAGGCCCCCTTCTGCAGTTGAGCTTCATGTGTTTGGAGATGCAGAGGGCACCAGCACATGTACAAGAAAGGTTCTGGCCTCACACACCTGCATCCATCTCCTTGACAAAACACAGTGGCATGCCTAGAGTGGTTTCCTGAAGGTGAGTGCAGTTCTTGCTGACAGTGAGTTGTGGTGAGGAGCTGGCCTTTCCCCTGCTGTGGGAGCCTCCCTGGTGCCCGAGGTCCTGGGGTGGGCAGGGCTTCTTCAGTCACACGTGGGAGGCAGCGCTGGGCTGGGACTGGAGCTCTGACACTTCTGTATGTCCTAGCTCAGGAAAGGTGTCAGCTCTGAAAGGCCATGGGGCAGCATTTCCAGGCTGCTCATGCAGAGAGCACCTCCAGCTGCTCAGATGTCAGCTTGGGATGCTACCTGTTAGCTCTGAAAACAAGATTTCTCCTACAAGTACAGTAACTGAAGGATGCCATTTGCTGAAACACAGGCCACTGGTTCTTCGAAGTGCTGTTTTATCTACTGTAATTGTAGAAATTCAAAATGGTTGTTTATGGCCAAGTTTACCCTAATGATATTACTGAAGTTACAGATAGACTGTATGCCCATTTCCTTCCTTACTGACTTGCTGCCAGGGTTCAGATGGATTTCCCCCCCTCTTTCCAGACTGATAATTTTTGCCTCAGTATTTGAAATTTTAACTAAGTGACTTTGCTTCAGATGAAGAGTTGGAACCAAAGCCAGAACCTACTCATTGATTTGTAAGCCAAACAGGATAGACAAACAAAGGGTCTCCACTATCACAGCCTTAATTAATACTGACCAAATGCATGGTTTGGAACCTGATAGCTACTCTGGAGTAGGCGTTGGTTTAGAGAGATGGTTTTGTTGGTGTATAACAGGAAGTTCAGTCAGCTTTGCTCTGACTGTTGAGCCTTTGAAATATCATAAATAAGTACCTGTCCTCCATTTAAAAATAAGGAATATGAAAGGGACCTTCCCTATTGTGTTATTAACAGCCTTTTAAAACTCTGAGCAGCTGCACAGTGCTCAAGTTCAGTAAAGATGTAGCAAATAGTCATTGATTAATAGTGTATCAGATGCCTCCTGCTGAAGAGCCCCATGAATTGTTGACAAGAGCATGAACATTTCATAAGGTGAGACGTAGTTGCAGTGGAGTTCCCTTTATTTCAGAACATTAAAGCACACAACCATTAAATACACTTGACACTTCTACTGTGCTATCTAAAAAGCTACGCTCGAAGGTACACGCTGCACAGACCTGGTGGCATCCACTTCAAACAAGTGGAACATCTAAATCAAAGCAAAGGCTTCACATAAAAAATAGATCTTGCTCTCTGCAACTGTATTCTTAAAAAAAATGATGGGGATGATGGGATTGAATGGAAAGAAAGTGGATTACTGAAGCAACAATCACCTCCCAGATTTAATGCAGGATGTTATTTTTATCAGCTCATCTGCTGCTGGCAGAAATGAAAGCTGATTAAGGCAAATGCTTCTTAAGAAAGGCGATTTCTTGTAAACAACACAGAAATTATTTTTTACTTCATCAGAAGCTTTTTCTGGAGTGACACTTGCTATGTCCCAGGCCCTGGGGGGACCCCTGCCCCTCTCACTGCTACTCTGTTTCTGAAGGGATTACATGTTGCTTTGTGGAATGCCAGCTCACAGCTGGCTGTGGGTGGAACTGAGCTTTCTTCGCAGGTGCCTGCAGCAGCAAAATATGCCACCAGAAGACTTTCCAGTGGCCTGTCTGGCCTTCAGAATGTGCTTGACCTCAGGGCTTTGGTATTTGACTGGCAGTGTAGTGTTTACAACATTCTGTGGGTTGCCCATATCAAACTATTCACCAGCACAACAATTCAGTAAAAAAAGAGTGAAAGTGTAATAGAAAAAAAGTACCTTATTTTAAAGCCATATTAAGAAAAACTAAGCTATGCTTTCATTTTAAGAGCTGCTGTGCACAATTGCTTTGATCCCAAACTAATCAGTGTCTATTAATTGGCACCTAACCAACATAAGTAAGTCACTAAGCAGTCAAGTTTTTTTTAAGGGGAGTTTTCTCTTAGCATCTTCTCATGTCCTGACTTGGAATTTTCCTGCTTTTGTAATGTATTTGACACCTTTAAAAGGCTTGTATTTTTCTCCATACATGTCTAGGCGATTCACTTTCAGTCCTGAAAAAAGACAGAGACAAGTACAAAGTTAAAAGCAGAATGCTAGGAATCACAGCAGTCTGATCAGAAAGCCAGCTGTCTTGAGAGCACATTAGGATTGGTTAGGAAGCTCGTTTTCCTTTCTTTCACAAGTTCATCTGGTTTGGAGTGGCAGATGAGAACATTCTTGTCACCTAATCATAGCTGTCTTGGCAGGACAACACCTTGTTTCTCTTCTACTCCATAAGCCAACATCCTCCTTCCAAGAGATGAACTATGGAACAACCAGTCTATCTTCCACAGCTCCTGTACACTGCACTCCTTTCCCATCGTGGAGATGAAGCAAAGGACAAGTTTTAGAATTCTTTTCACTCCAAGTCATAATTACAAGAACCAGCAATGCCTCTGCTATTCCATGAGGGAGGCCAGTAGCTATTAAATACCTACAGCTTCAGGCTGTTCTGTGCTTTCTCACAGGTCTGTTATCTTTGGTGTCCAGCCACTGGAGCAGCTGTATCTTGTAAGATTTAAACTAGTTCAGGAGGAAACTGCAGGGTTCTGTTCTTAGACAGGAACTGTTGATTACCCCAAATAGGGGCCAAAAAGACCCTATTGACTGGTACCTATCCAGAGAGGTACCACATGTACTACCACCAACTCTCACCAACTGCCTTCAATCATCTTCCTCCTTTGCCTCTCTGGATGTGAGTTCTTGCATTGTTAGAGCCTTAATCCTGCAAAGCTTGCTTGGAGAAGCACTTTACACAGGGACAACTCACATGATTTAAGTGTTTGCAGACTGAGGTGTTGTCTGCTTTAAATTTACTTTTGCATTTACCCTATAGACTTCATTCCGCTTTTACTTGCAAATTGTTTCAAAGATGAAAAACTAACCAGCTCCAGAAGGAAAGAATAAGAAGGGCATTCTTCAAAATTAATGCATTCTTATGACCACTAGAAAGAGCTTTAGTGGCACAAGGCTAAAACCTGTCAGGAGCAGCACACTAAATCATCATGCATCAATCTTCACTAAAAGGATATGTTTGCATGTTTAATGTACCAGTCAACAAAGAAAAATCCATTCTTCTGTATACTTCTCTCAGTCTTTCTTGAGCAAAACAATTGGGAATTCACAATTTCCAGCAAATAAATCTTCCATCAAGGGAAACCGCCAGGTTTGGTAAATCAGACTTTACCATTTTGGATCAAGCTGACTTCAGACCTGCACCTCCAATTAAATGATTAACAGCTTCCCACTTCATTTCCTACACCAGCTCGTTCTGCCAGCACCAATTTCATGTAATACCCCCCCACTCACCTGAAATTGCAAGCTGTTGTATCTTAAACTGGATGTTTAAACTTGGGTTCTCCTCTGGCTTGGGGGCTCCAGACTGCAGGTTCACTATGCCCTTCAGGTTTGGTAGCTTTTGAGGGGTAATTTTGCCCACATCCCAAGTTAGCACCTTGTCAGGAAGGAGAGAAAATTAGTAGTAGCATTCTAGGAAACAACCTATGAGGTCAAGTTCATGTCCAGCTTTTAGTTTGCAGGCTGGGTACCAACAGTAGCCTGGGAACCCCAAGAATTCCTCACTGGCTGGGAGAGGGCTCCTGCAGATACGGGGGTTTTTTTCTCACCCTGTCAGTGTGGGTCTGTGCACTGAGAACATCTTGTTCCCTTTGCTAAGGATAATTGACCCTGATGTCTGTTTGGGTCAGCTGGATCCGTGAAACCAAGACAGTAACCAGCACAGAGACCATAGAAACTTAAACACAAGAATGAGGAGGGTAGGAGCAAGGCACTGGAAAAATGTTTGCAGTTTCAATTCACCTAGTTATCCCAACTCTTGATAAAAACACAGTAAAATTTATTGCTGCAGAGAGTTTTTTTTTGTTGGTACTTTTCTTTTGAAAAGATCAAGGTCTATTATTTTTGAAACAAAATGCTACTTGGAGACCTTTCCCTAACAATTTCAATGAATTGCTGACTGAGATATTCCAAGGGCAGCAGAAAGCTCAGAGCAGGGTATTGGAGCCAGCAGAATGGTTTGGCTCAAACTGCTTTTCAGTAAAATGGCTCCTGGGTACTGAAAGGCTTCAGGAGCTTTATGAAATTTAGATCTCAAACCCCAACTCAGAGGCAAGGAATCAGGAGCCCAAGATATGTTTTTTCAGACACTTTATTTTCCTGTGTGTCCTTAGGCAGATCTTGTGGAAGAAATTTTTTCTCATCTCCTGCTCCCAGTTTTTCTGTCTGCCCATTTTCAAGGCTAGTGCATTTTCTTTAGAAAAATATTTTTCCACAACATATATGCAAAATTTATCATGGCTGAAACTATTGGCAAAATACTGCTGCATCCACTAAGGAAAGATATTAGTGGGTGAAAGAGCAGGGTGAAAAGAGAGGGAAGGGAAGGAAAAGGATACTATCAAAGTCAGAAATCAGAGCTGGTGTGTATCTAAGTTTGAAAAAGAAAATTTTAAAGGTAATTTTTTAATTCATAAACATATGCTGAACAGAGTTCTCTGCCAAGTGTGGAACACTGCTCCAGTATTCTGCAATATGGGTGACTTTAGTAATGCCATCTTCAATATTTAAATAAATAAAATTTCATTACTTACTTTAGTAACTGGGTCAAATGTATAGCTGCCTTGTGTAGCAGTGAGGTTCATGTTAAGTACGGCCTTTGGCATGTGAACTGTCATGACTACTCCTTCTACTGTTTTCCCCATATTCTGTTTTGGTCCAATGGTAACATCAAATCTTCCTGAAGAAGTATTTTCCTTAAAACTGATCATGTGCTTCACATATACAGGAATTGCCACCAAGCTGAAAAGAGAAGACAGTAGTTGAATGCATCCTGGCTACTTCTCTGCCCGAGAAAACAAAGCGCTTTCTCATAAATGGATCTTGTGTTTCTGGTAGGTGCTCAAGTTAGAACTGGTTTGTTTCATAAGTGATAAATGAAGTGATACTCTGCTCTTCAGCATCATTGCTGAAATGATTTTATCAGCAGAAAATCAAGATAAAAATAAAGAATTTTTTTTTTATTTTCGTCCAAATACCTTGTCCTATTCTCTCTTCATCTGGTTGCTGTTTTGTTTTCTTTTTTTTTAAGTAATCTCACTGAGCCAAATCTCAAAAGAGCCATTAGTCAAATCAGGCTTTAGTTTGCAAAATCTGCAGTTTGGACTTTTTTGCTTTACACTCTTCATGAAGCTCAGAGTCCTCCATGTACACAGAGACTTTCTCACAAAGCATCTAGCACCAACAACAGTTACTAGGACAGAATAGCATGTGTGATAAAAAATTATTGCTGAGTATCTGCAGGTCACTGAAAAATGGTTTTCTTCTTTTAGTAGGGACAGAGCAACAGCTGAGACAAAAGCTGAGCACACACATTTCAGAAGAGTGCAAATTCCCCCTTCACAAGGAGGAATGTGCCATTCCTCAGGTGGAAAGCAGCAGTGTGTGCAGCTGGAGGGGCAGAGTGCCCGGATGGAAACGCACTTCTGGGAGCTGACGCGGTAGGAGATGAGCCTGAAGTTGCCATCGGGGGGAATGAAGGACAGGACCCGCTCAGACTCCCAGCGCTTGAAGCGGATACACGGATGGAAGCTGACGTCATCCAGCAGCCGTGGGTTCTGCAAGGAGTGAGAATGGTGAGTGCCATCTCATCAGGTACCAGCACTTTGAGCCAGCTACTGCACTCTACCCAATTCCTATTTCTTAGACTCTGAGTAGCCATGATCAGAGACATGTTACTGAGCTAGATGGATTTCTGATCTGACCCAGCACAGCAGCTCCTGGGAGGGTATTTTCATGTACACACAAAAACCTTTCCAACTACTGAACAATGCAGCTTCTACAATATAACTTGTTACTTCTTATGTGCAACACATGAAATAGTAATACTGATCTTAAAGTTGTTTAACTCTGATCACTAAGAAAAATAAATCCTGAGCAATTAAGATTCCCAAATATAGGCTGAATTTACCATGAAAGACAGAGAAAGATCTGGCATTCCTGAGAGCTTAATACACGAATCAATAACGCCTTGGATTTCTGCAAAGACTGTGGAACCTGCAGAGAAAAACAAGACACTTAACATAATTATGAAAGGCCTAACAGATGTGGTGAAGTGCAGCTAGAGGGCACAGATGACATTTGCACAACACTCAACAACATGCCAAGCCCAGCTAGGAAAGGTCATTCCAGTTACCTGTGTCCTGGGCAGCTTGCTAAAATACATGAGCCAGAGCAAACAGCCTGTTCCAAACTGGTTCATGATACTCGTGCCAGCTGTTACACAGGACTTGTACTTGATGTGCTTG